CTAATAGAGAGAGTAAATAAGATTTACTTAAACTTCTTCTTATTCTCGAATAATACTAATAAGATATTTTTATTAACTTTATTATATTACTATCTATTTATCTTAGATATAAGCGCTTTTATTAATATATTATAATAATTATAAATAGACTTAATAAGAAGAAGAAATTTATTTTTTTAGACTCTCTAAAAGTAAAGATAGTAGTTTAGGCCTTTATCGAATTTATATAATAAGAGAAAGAATATCTATTTACTATTATCTCCGATCGAGATATCTAGTTTATAATATATTTCTAAAGAAGACTATATAAAAGAATTAAAATTAAATTTAAGCTTTTTATTACGTTTTATCTCGAAATTAATAAATAAATAAAGAACGCTAACGCTACTCTAAAGTAATATCTTAGAATTTATATTAATTATAATTAAGATAATTAGATAAATCTATTACTAATAATAGAGTTTAAAGCTAACTTCGATAAAAACGCCTTATCGAAGATATTACTATTTCTTCTTATTAAAGAATATATTTCTCGCTCGAGAATAGAACTCTTAACTCTTTAAGATTAATTCGCTAATTAAAAAGCGAAGAGAGATATTAAGTTAGTTAATAAGTTTATTAAAAAGATTAATATTATAAGAAATTATCTAAGAAGTTAGTTTAAATAATTACGAGCTTTATAGAAGAAGTAAACTAATTATTATCGACTCTCGATATTAGAATTTAGAGTTAAAGATATAATTACTAGTTAAAAAGATATAATATAATATAAAATATTAATCTATTATATTATACTCTAATATAATATAAGTTATTAAGATTTATATAATTTTATATCTAATATAATATAAAATCTTAACGATATATTTTACGATATAATATATCTATAATATTATATTATAGAATAATATATATATAAGATATTCTCTTTAAGATTTTTATATTTAGAAGTATAAGTAGCTATTTTAATTATTATTCTAGCTAATTATAACTACTACTATTATTTATTTTAATTATTACTATTATAACTATTACTATTATAACTATTACTATTATATCTATTATTATTATATCTATTACTATTATATCTATTACTATTATATCTATTACTATTATATCTATTACTATTATATCTATTATTATTATATCTACTATTAAAATATAATCTTTATATATCTTAGCTATTATATTTTTTAGCTATTTAATTTTATATTATATTTAGAATCTAGTCTCGAAGAGATTTTAGAGAATTAATTTATTCGTTTTATATATTATATATCTAATATTCTAATAGCTATTACTATTATAACTATTACTATTATAGCTACTACTATTTATTATTAAAATAATCTTTAGTTATTATATAATAGTTATAATTATAATAGTTATAATAATAATAATTATAATAGAAACGACTATAATAAAGACGATTATAATAATAGTAGATATAATAGTAATAGTTATAATAGAGGCGATTATAATAGAGGCGATTATAATAGAGACGATTATAATAGTAATAGTTATAATAGAGATAGTTATAATAATAATAGATATAATAGAAGTAGTTATAATAGATAATAGTAATAGTTATAATATCGTAGAATATATCGCTAAGATTTTAAATCTATATTAGAAAAATAATATAGTATTCGATTCTATTTATATTATACTCGAATACGATATAATATTACTTAATATAAAATATTCTATAAAATATACTATATCTTTTCGATTAATAGACTTATATAATTGTATTTAATAGAAGAAATATTAAAACTATACGTCTTAGTAAATTATTAAACTATAAGAATTTCGAATTATTTAAAATTATTAAAGTTTTAAATAATTTCGCTTATAAGTTAAAAATCTCGATTTTATAAATAATATTTATTTTATCTTCTATTTATAGCTATTATATCTCGATAATAGCGATTTATTATTAAAATAAATCGAGCTTTTATTATTATCTATCGACGTTAATAAAGAAGATAAAATTTATAATATTAAAGAAATAATTTAATTTAAATTAGATAAATAAAAGAATAATTTCTTAACTAGTAAGAGAGAATATCTAATATATAAAATTAGATATAGAGACTCTAAAATTAAAGAAAATCTATTCTAGTAATTATTTACGAATATAATAGAATATTTAAATCTAATAATAGACTTTTACTATTATTACTTCGAGGTCGTTAGCTCTTATTTATTATTTAAAAGATCTTTAAAATAATCTTCTTTATTAGCGCTATTAATTTATAATAGCTATATTAACTTATAAAAAGATCTTAATTCTATAATAAAATACTAAATTAATATATCTAAGAATATTACTTCGTATACGTCTAGATATACTTTTTATAAGATCGATATCTATTATATAATAGTCGTCGTCGAAGCTTTAAATTAAAGAAGAAGATAATATTACGATTTTAATAATCTTATAATCTTACTTATATTATAACTTAATTAAGCTTAGCGTATTAAGATCTTTTAATCTTTCTATTTTATTATAAAGCTTATATATTTATAATAATTCTATATAGATAATATTCTCTTTATACTATAATATAGAGTTATTATATATATTATTAAGTTTCTAATAAATATTATTATATAAATTAATAAAAGAGATAATATCTTTAAATATAGTTTTTAATCTTTTAAATTTATTTATAAAAATTAAAAAATAATTATATCGCTTTAATTTAAAATTAGAATTATATATATTTTCTAATTTATAATTATACTTATTTAAATATTTTAAGAAGAAATCGATTATTAAAAAATTAAAAGTATTAGAATTAATAAAGCTAGATTTAACTTTACTTAATATTAAAAGTCTTTTAAATTATAAAAAAAAAGAAAGTTATATTAAAGAGAGTATATATAAAAAACTTTTAAATTAAAAAAAAAAGAGAATTATATCGAAGAAAATATAGATAAAAAAAAATTTAATTAAGAAAAAAGAAAAGATTATAGAGAAAAGAATAAAGATAAAAAACTTTTAAATTAAAAAAAAAGAGAGAATTATAGAGAAGAGAGCGAAAATAAAGAACTTTTAAATTAAGAAGAAAAGAAGAATTATAGAAAAAGAAGTAAAGATAAAAAACTCTTAAGTTAAAGAGAAAGAGAGAGTTATAAAAAAGAGAGTAAATTTAGAGATCTCTCTATAAATATTTAAATATCTAATTATAATAATAAATATAGAGAACTCTATCGCTTAGCTTCGATTATAGATATATATTTATAATTTAAATATTTATAATTCTAATAAAACTCTAAATAAATAGAATAGTATAAATTTATTTATTTAGTTTACGCGATTTATTATAATTTAAAAGAGCTTTTTTAAATAATAATCTAATTAAAAATTAAGTAATTATATTATTCTTATTTTAAAATCTAATTAAAAGATTAAATATAATTAGAAAAAGAAATTATTATCGTAATATATTATTTTAATAAAAATAATATTATTATTCTTCTCTAACTTTTTTAATAAATTAAAATTCTCTATAATATTAATAATTTAATTATTTTTTATTTAAATTATCTTTTTTTATTTATCTATAATTCTAAATAGTAAAGAATTTATAAAATTTAAAATTTACGATAAAATAGTTATATTTATTTATAGAAATTAAACTTTATATTTAATTTAGCGTCTAGCTTAATATCTAATTATAATCTTATAAGCGAAAATATATTTTTCTTCTAAGATTTTTTTAGAATAAATTATTATAATAAAGAAAAGAGAGTAAAAAAATAAAGATTATATTTTTATAAAAGATAAGATTAAATTAAATATATAATAAACGCGTAGTAAATATAAATTAAAGATAAAATTCTATATTAAAATAATTAAAAATAAAATAATAGAGAGTTTTTTTTTTATTTAGATAAATATTATTTATAAATAATAATAACTTATTAATAATATTTAATTAAATAAATTATATATAATAATAATAATATAAAATTAAATCTAATTAAATATATTATTTATAATAATAAATAATATTAATTTTTTAATAAATTAAGCTTAGATTTAATTAAATATATTATTTATAATAACGCGTAATATTAAAATATTTAACTTCGCGCGTTATAATAAATAGAAATTATTATTAAATAAAATATATTTTAATAAATATAATCTATAGATTTTAATATCGCGATTATAGATTATTAAAAGATTTTAAATAAAGTAATATATAAAGAAGAAAGTAGATTAGATAATTAAAAATCGAGAATACTATTAAATTTAGCGTATTTACTTTTATAATCTTAAATCTTAATATTATTATAAAAAGACGTAAAATAATAAAATAAAAATCTAAAAGATTTTTTTTTTTTTTTTTTTCTCTAAGTTCTACGTATTCGCCGCTGTAATTCTAATCCCTTCGCCTATCTGATTTGTGAAATTCATAATTTTTCCAAGCTTTCATTTGGCTGCGTAATGCGTGCGATCTCTGACATTCCGTGACTCGTCAGGTAGCAAGTTTTTTCCCTGATACGGCATGGGTACAAGAAGCATCTAAGTGAACGGCTCCAAGAATCGCGGTTCTGAAATCTTGACTTGTTTGCTTCTTTTGCGCATTTGAAAAAAGTGAGCCATCTGCATGTCCACACTTTTTGAAGCATTAATGGAGGACGAAATGCAGATGGATATCTGGTAGAGCTCTTTCAGAAGACAGATTCGCCGATGCTTTGCATGTGTCGCAGATAGTGGAAAGAGATACAGGGCTTGGCATTTTGCTCGTTGAATTATAGCAGCTCTGAGATTTACCTGGCCCTAGGCCCTGCCACGATGGTAGTTCTATTCTTGTACTAGGATGATCAAGGCAGTAAAGGGGAACAAATGTCAGAAGAAACGCGCCATCTTGTGGTCAGGCCAATCTTTCTGTTTTCGCCCCAAGGGCAACACACTAGGGGCCCGGCTCGTAATCCCTTTGCACTACTTCGATCACGTTGAGCCCCTCATGAAGATAATGCGTTTAAGGCGAATAGGAGGGCATGAACAGCATGGCCAACATGAAATAGCCATCATAGGAGTATTGGAAGCGGCCAATCTGCAGAGCATCTTCCAGGCTGACCAGTCCTATGTAACGCAGATTTAAAGACTGACCCAGCCGTTGCGCAACGTCCTTCCAAGTTCCTTCTTCGGCGTTCATGTCGGCTTCGCAGATCTTCAGCTCCCGAAGTGAAGCTTTGTGCCGTTCGAGCAGATCTATCAAACCATTGGGTGTCCAGCACGCCAGACGGCCCAAGTGCAACGTAATCAGATGGGGGAAATAGAGCTCAGAGAATACGTCCTTCCACTGATTATAGGTAAGAAAAATGTTAGCAACTAGAGAGAAAAGTTCTGTAGTCTGTTGCAATATAGACTTCAAGCATGCAACCTCCTCAGGCGTAGAACAATGGGTGGTATTAGCACTAGCCCAGGGTGGGCTCACATTGAGCACCAAATCATTCAGGCCGCGAGCTATGTTGTGGATTGAGGTTCGATCCTTGGAGAGCATTTGGAAGATTTTCATTGGGGCATTGGAGCGTTCTAGTCCAAGTTCGAAGTTGTCTATTTTCGGGTTGTGCGTTGCAGCAGCCTTCAAAATATTCACGATACCACGGCAGTCCCAGGGCCCGTTAGCTGGTCTGACCTCTTCGTCTGAGACGATTCTGAGTCCATTCCGGTATCTTACAGGCCATCCCATCGGTTCTAGGGAGCAGCCAAAGCTTTTGGTAGACGCTTTTTGGTACCAGCCATGATCCATGCCCGACGCATGATCCGCCTTGGGAAATTGATCGATTATCGAAAGCCTGTAGACCTTGGGCATCTGCTTCAAACCAGCGAAGAGCACATCTCTATCCCTGCCCGTGTCAAGAATTTTTTCTTGCTGGATATAGAATTGCACGTATTGTTTCATACTCTTGAGAACCCTCCCATGGTAGGTCCTCTCCCGCAAAGCCTTCAGAGCGGCGTGCTCCCTCTCGGAGGGTTTAGAGCCGGTACTTTTGATATCCTTCATATCTCTCCTTATCTCTTTCTCCGCCCTGTCACAATCCGCCAATATACCTCTTTCTCCATCCTCGCCCTGCGCTCGGACATGTAAATTGTACGCTCTGTAGTACATTTCGGGTTCCAAGAAGTGTTGTTGGAACAACCTTCCGTCATATATGACCTCGGTCATGTGTCGGTTGAAGGCAGGATTCGCAGCGATGTGTTTGAAGGCGTCCATGGACTTCTCTCGTGGGGCGAAATAGACGCGCCGAAAGAGCTCAGGGTCTCCGGCATTGCGTAGGCGATGGCAGGAAAGGCGGGCTTGCTTGAGGTCTATCTTGGGCAAGCATGACAGGATCCCTATCAGGAGTTCATGGGGAAGCTTGTCAAGCTGACTCGTCATAGTAGATGTAAGACAAGGTCAGCGGCGAAGCGGGTGTCAGTTAGGAGTACGGCGAACCTGAAAGTTGGTTACCTTTGGCTTAGCAAGGCTCATTCAGATGTGGAGTGACTCTTGTCGCCTGTACGCGCGGGCGCTAATTTTAGAGTAGCCTCTTGGCAAATCATCTTAGGGCTACGCCTAACTCAGTCAGTTTTGTTGGAGGATGAGACCATCAACTTGGCAGAATGGCGCCAGATCAGCTGCAGAATCTTTTTTAGACAATCGTGCCTAACAAGAGACCTTCACAAAGTGTTTCTCCCATCGCGCTGTGAAATTTTGTGCGCTGGTAGACAATGGAGACCACTCGACGCGCTGCCTACTGAAGCGCGCCTACGTCGTAACAGGTCGTCCGCTGATGCTCGTAATTACTGAAGAATGCTTGCTATTTTGGCTAACGTTTGTTTTTTCTTGGTGGAACACAAAGGCAGACCCACGCGTGATCTTCTGCAGTCCAATTCTTCCGATCCAGCAATTTACAAAATTTCATTCCTAGCAGAACATTTGGTCATCTAGCTTTCCCCATTTGAGGTCGGAATCAATCAGACCCCTTTCACCGTCTCATGAGATCCATACAGCTGTCACCCCAGCATCCTTTGCACGCACCAATCCAGCATAGCATTGAGGTTCGGTGGGACCGCCAAGACGAGTGGAGATGGTGATCACATTCGTCTTCTAAAAGCCTACTATGGTTATAAAGATATTACGTACTGTCTGATCGCCTCTATCTTCTAATACCTGCTCTCTTCCCATATTAGGAGCGGACTTTCATAGTCGAGTCGATTGGCTGGAACGCTACGAGTAGAAAAGCCAACAACACAATGTGACGAAATGAAAGCCGATGTCTGACTAACAGTTATGGTTCCCGCCAGCACTCGAGACGGTGGTATCTTTATCGATCATAGTCTTAACGTAAGATTGTCTTGTTATCATTTATTCCACGCGACTGTAGCCATAGCCGTGCTTTCCAAAAGACCCTCACGCCAAAACCGGACCACTAGGGGACTCATCGCGTCTTCGCTCGACTTTGCATTCTGGCATTTCCTGGTCATGAATGACAAAACCGCAATGACGGCAGGATGAACGGAAACTTCTTGCGTCAAGAATGTCTTCCCCATCGCTATCGCCGATTCTGTTATCATCATTGGGAGACAGGGAACTCGCTGAACCCTCTGTGTCACACCACGCGCGTCAGATTCAAACCTAGTCTTTGCGAGTACAAGTACCCCAAAAATTAAAAGTCATTCTCATCTAACCCTTCCAAGCAACAAAGGAGTCGGACAATGCTAACAAAATAAGTTGATCCTCATCACGGAGGTTCGATTCCGCATCTCTGCAGAATCGCCAGAGAAGCCTCCCAACCGCTCTCCCAAAGTTTGTCCAGCTACAAGCCATTGCGCCATACTGTCTATCAAGCATCGATGATAGGCGGAAACAGTGAGCGGAATACAATTGGTTCACTTCCTCCAAATCTGATGAACATCGTGCTACTAGTATGCGAGAAGCTCAGACGAAGTGAATTAAGAGTGACTAAACTGTGAAGCTGGCATTCTTGCACCATCCGGATCAAGTTCTGGTGGCAAGCGGCAACTAAACGCTACCCAAGATTGCTGATGCTTGATCTCACCCTTCGGCTGCCGTCCGATTGTAAGAGATGAAGGCAGCCGACAGCAGACCAGTCAGGAAGGGATGAAGCCGAATGAGAACGAGCCTCGCCCGAAGGAGGTCAAAGTGTGTCGGCGCTCGACAGAGGAAATCCCGTTCTCTAATCATTCTAAATACCCAGGTAGTCGGCTTCCATAATACACGTGCGGGACATAGATGCCATCGAAATCGTATTTGAAATAATTGACACAATGAAACAGGTACCCTCTCCACATCAACGTGAGCCAGGCTTCGATGACGAAGTCTTCGTCATCGCAAGCATAAACCCGGCAGTGCTGGGATACCGACCCCTTCATGAAGTCAACGTAGTCCTGGATGTATGAGAAGTAAAGTTTCAGGTTCAGATACGGATAGAACCCACATGGGGTCTGGACTGGTTCAAGAATGTACTTGCCGTCCTTCTCAGTTCGCCGGGCTTCACCACCTGCCAGAAGTGCTATTCGAAAATAAATTCTGTGAAGGTCATAGAAGAGGATCTTGGTTCTGTCTTTGTTGTATTACTGTGTGGTGGAGTCATAGTCGTCATGCATTTTTCCACTCAACGGACGATCTCTAATGGTTCCGTGGTGATATCGGAGGGCCATATGGTGACTCCGCTTGGCATGTGATCTTATTAGATAGAGTCAGATCTTTCGTTCGTCAACTCACACACCGTCCCTCCTCCCAACGGGTCTCATCCTCTAAAGCCACCGTGATCATCCATCATCTCCGTCGTCACCCTCGGCGTCTATCGCGACGTCGCTACCAGCGTGGACCCGTTCTTGGCCTCCACCGCCATCCATACGACCGCCATGCTCGACCTTGCTGGCCAGCGAGCCGTATTCCGCTACTTCACGCACAGTCTAGGCGTTGTGCTACACCAGGCCCAAAATCTTTACCGCGGGGCGACCATAAGCAGGGTGATGACGACGGAGTCGATCACGGTGCGGGAGTCTTATGTGAGCAAAGCGAAGGAGCATGATACGCTGGCAGTTAATGCGAGTTTTGGATGTGGAAGGAAAGGCAGGAAAGTAGGAGAGGTGGGTGGGCGCTGACGTGGAAGTAGATGTGCGATGAGCCGCCGCCTGGCGGACACTGGATGAGCCATACCATGCGAAAGCTGGAAGAAAGGTACGTGAAGTAGTCCAAAAATCAATGGAAGACGTAATTCAGCATCAGGGACATAGTGAAGAAAGGATGATATGAATGAAGTCAAGACTGTTGAGTATTAAATATTCGCTTGTCTGCTGGAGTAGTATTACGAATGTTCCATTCGAAGCTCAGTGCTCCTCAGGAGTGGGATGACTGCGAATGGCACAAAGAATGCTTAACATGTATGTTGTATAAGACTTACAATCCTTCTGACACAGTATTCTCGTGATGGAACAACATCTTGGCTGCGCCAGTGGTCCAATACCATCAGGTCGTCCATACAGTCCGCACTTGCCCTCTGGGGGCTATTCTCATGATATCGGGACGGACATCATGGCCCCAGCGTCACCCTTCTCCAAGTCATGTTCACCCTCACGAGATCTACAACATAGGTCCAGTTCTCGTCGATCATACCCCTCCTACCCAGTTCTTCCATTATCCTCTGGAAATGCGGATGCACCACGGTGTGAGTCTCTCCCGCGTACTCTATGGCTTTCTGCCATGCTTGAGCCATGAGAAGTAGCGCTTCATTCGTCAAGACGTCCATGCGGAGGTCTGGGTCGTATGGTGTCAGGTCACTCGGCGATGAGGACGCTGAGTGCAGGTCGATGAAGTCAAGATCATCGGACTGAGAACTCTCTGTAGATAGTTCGACATCGTATCCTTGCATGCCAGACGAGGACGTTGAGGCTGGTTGCATATCATCGTGTGGCAGGTGCTCAAAGATGCAATGGTCTCTTTGGAAGCCACCGAATGGTACATCTGGACGCTCGAGATCTTCACGTTGGTGGCGTTCAAACTGGTAATCCTCCGGCTGTTCGTCTTCGGTTTGGTCGTCTTCAGCATGAAAGTCTTGTATATGCAAAATTTGAGGTGCACTGGTGGTGCTAGAGTCAGCTTTTGGTCAGAATAAACCAGCATGAACATTTTTTACTTCGATTGTGTATCCATGGACGCTGCTCGACTCGGCATGTTCCTCCAAGCATCATCCCAACGGGCACCATTGGGGTTCCCGTTCCTTTTGACACATGCTGCCATGTGGACTTTAACATTGTTTTTCTTACCGAATTTTCTACCACAGATAGAACATGGATATGTCTTTCTCTCGTCCTCTTCCCAACTTCCTTGGTCCGGAAGTTGGCCAGGGGGGACCTTCGATAGGATGGCAACACCGCTAACAGCAGCAAGACGTCGGGCGTCTCTCGCATTTCTTTCCACTTGTTGCGCGGCTGTCTTTCTGCGTATGCTGGGCTCGACTTGGGAATCTGAAGCTGGTGTAGTGCGAGCCAATTGGTTACTGCTTTTTCACATAGTGTGAGCAAAGGGGGATACCAAAGTTTGATTGAGCACTCACGCATTGTTTTTGGCTTTTCTCGGCTTGCTCCCAGAAGTACGGCCTGAACGAAGCTTCTTGGGCTGTCTCTCCTGTGTCACTCTTCCTTGCGCGGCTTTCATTCTGGTAACAAAAGGCATGATCAAAGGCCTTGTATGATTTTATGCCCGTGGAACCTGATGTTGTGAGCGTACAGCTGTATAACAGGGTCGACAATGATATGTCAAGCATGCAACAGTGGGGACGTTATCTTAGAGATGTAGACCACGTTTGTGAATGTTGAGAAAGTATGGTTCACAAATATATAGAGGGCTATGTGTTCAATTTTTGTGGGTGTTGTTGTATACTGTGTGGTGAATAGCCTGTGCGGCTATCTACTTCCGGCTTCCCTGCCTAACTCCTCTCCATAACACATATACCAACAACACCGACTAGACAGGAGAGCCAGCGAGAGAAGTCGATCCCTAGCTGCAATGATTTCCCAATAGGGTCCTTACTCAGCTGCCACAGCCTCAAACCTTTCTTGCAAGTCTGAGGTCTGGGACTCGGTCGCAGCAAGCTACGACTCGAAAAGCGTGCTATTTATTACACCTAGCCAAGACATATTGGCAGCGAGTTGCAACAACGCTGTATAGTGCTTCGACGGGCACAGCCCCTTACAAGCTAGTCCACCAATATAGTTCACCGTCAAGATTCCTTCCTTGCTCGGATCATTATCTCCACTCAACGGCACGCTCCCACAGACATGACACCCATGGCCTCTGAGCTCTTGCAGCTTACGCTTGATAAGAGCTCCATCTACCCCTGTCGTGGGCAAGTTGTTTCCTTGTGTGAACGCGCAGATGCCACCCAGGAAAGATCGTCCGATTGGAAGGCACACGATATGATCGTTTGGCAAGTAAATATCCGTGTCATTCATGGGACCACACAAGAAGTCTGGGGGACAGTCGGTGATACTGCCACTGGTGATCTTGATGAATGTGCCTATGTAGTCTGGTGGGAAGGCCTCTAGGTATGCGGGACAAAGGACGCTGCCGCGGCAATTCACGCCAAGGGAATCACCAAGAAGGGTCGATAAACTAGAGTTGATGCTGAGAGCAGGGGTTGTCGGAAAGAGGACAAAGACTAATAGACGTAATGTGAGGATGGGACTCGGCTGTCTCTTACGACAGAGGTGATAGTTCAAGGTCATCATGGGTCATTGAAAGTGTTGACCGTACATGAATGTCGGACATGAAATTCTTGTTACTTAACAAAGACAAGCTGGTAGCAGAGACTGACGCGTCCTCGGAAAGATCTTTCTCGAGTTGTTATTCTTAGCGCAGCGCTTCTTGCCGCTCCAGGCGAGCCAAACAAAGGCGTGCTTTTGAATGAAGTGTTTCATTCCCCTACATTGTATACAATATTGTATAGTGGCTAGTTGCGTCGATTTAAATCAGCTAAAGTTCTTCAGACCAGTGCCCGATGTTGTAGCAATAGTGTTCAGATGTCTTGTGAGTAGCTCATTCTCGCAAATGGCAGGAGAAGGAGTTGCTTAGGGATCTTCGATTTGTTCACATTTACCTTCGCAATCTTCGCTTTCTCTCAGATTAACTTTGTAAAATACAAAACCATATCTGCTGCCAGAGGCAAATTAATTATGGAAAAACAACCAATGAAACTTACGTGATACACAAGATTCTATCTGGTATACTTGATTAGACTTAGCGCTGGAGATACTGCCTCACCATAAGTTTATTGTGCTCATTTGAGGCTACTATCTGTGTCTTCAAATCAGGCGTCATCTGCTCAGAAGCTGTTATTCAATATTACACATGGTTTTGCTATCAGCCTTGCGGAATCTTCCAGACAGAACAAGTGAAAAGGTCTGGCTCGCTTCCACATCACATCTGCAAAAAAAATTATGATCTATCTCAACCGATCTGTATTCCCCAAGAACATTCTGCGCAACACTAACCATTAATAGGAATCTCCGCTGTTCGCTTCTTACCCGGAGGGGTCATTCTCCAACGCTTGCACAGGGCCCGTGGGAGAGAAGTCACTGCGGCCGGGTCTGCAGGTTCAAACACAATTCATACATTGCATCCGTCATTGAGGCATTTGTCTCCAGTATAGCTGAGTCTGTGGTCGCAAGACAGCCGTGCCGCGACGAGTTCAACAATGACCCATTGTATACTTTTGGGTCTCGGTCGACTGGTGCCCCTTTTCTCCAGGATCGTCGCTTTTTCATGATCGTCTAACGCCATCATTTTGACAGCTTAAATTTCTTATTGTTACCCAATCAATACTTCCTCTTTCTAAGTGCCAAAATGCTTTGCTAAAATTTGGAATTCCGACATTTCGCTATGTAGCTACTTATAGTTCACCGGTAATTTTACTACAAATCGTTGTACTATTAGGCGGTTTCTAACGCACCCAGCCTCAAAGCGGGTGCTTCATACACAATGCCCGAAGCCGACAGATAGCACGGTTTCGACACATATATGCAACAACACGGACACGCCAGTCCCAAAATTCAGACTCTAAGAGCTCGCTTCCAACGTTGGAGAGTCAATCCAATTATGAAAACGCTGGTAGAGTTGACGAGACTAGTTCAATTGACACAAAATTCCCCGAGCTTCCCACCACTCCCGCCCATAAACCAAAGACGCTTACAAGTTCCAGTGAAATACCCCAACGCCCTGCCAGGGATCCGCGATGCGGTTGCGGCCATCGCCGCTGGTGCAGATATTGACGGAATAGCAATACTGGCCGCACATTCTCCCCTGAGTTGCGGGCGGCTGCACCGAGGAAGAGACACCGTCAGCAGGCGGGACAATCGGCGGCGCCGGAGGCTTCACGGCCGCAGGGTCGCTGAAGGGGACTCCTCCCGTTGGCGCTTGTTGGTCAGCCAATAGGAGGCCATTTCTCCACTGACTAAGTTAAATAGGTGTTGTGACTACTTCTCATGGGGGAAAAATTATGGGGGAATAGCCTCTGCCTACTGCCGCTTCGCACCATAGATAGGTAGTCACCCATATCTAACTACAATAAAACTATTCTTCTATGAGACCTTGAATGATACCATTTCCAATACGCTGACATCCCTCCCTCCTCCCCTTCGACATTATAGGCGGAGCCGAGCTGAAATAACACAACGATGATGTTTGATTTTTTATCTGGATGCACTCGGTGTGAAATATTGGGCTAGAAGCGAGGCTGGGGAGGAATTTCATCTCTGCGCGACTTACGAGTCTCTTTCCATCCCCCAATGTGCATCTGGTTGAAGAAACACGCACACATCATGAATTTTGCTCGGGTCTCGGGCCAAACATAGGTACTCATCGATACAATTACGCAAATAATGGAAATCGCGAGTCAGATGGTCCTGAACGCAGTCAATGCAGTTTATACTGTACTGGCGCAGGCGGTACTAGTGTGGCCATACGATTTATTGCCATCCGCGAAGCCGGACTCTGGAATTCTTTGATGGAGCATGCTGGCTACGAAGGTGAGGACTGCATTACCTCGGACAAACATGGGAGGGCCTTCATGAGTATTGTTGGTAAATACCTGGGTATGCAGTTACTGCTATAATGAGACTTATCACTAGTTATGGTATTCCTAATGATGTCTAAAGAAGAAGAATGCTATGTACAGGAAAGGCCTTCATATACCAATGACTAGGCCGAATGAGTACTAGTGATAGCGAGTGTTGAGTTACCGACAAGTATCAAACCCGTTGATGAGGGCGTTCCACAGAGGTCTGAGATCGATCACAAGCAATTAAGTGGGGTGATGATCATAGTCTATTCCTAAGAAGGACATCCGTTGGGGAAGTCGCTTACGTAGCATAAGCAGAAGTAATCATGGGCCGACCATGCATTTCGAGTATAGCAGTGAGACTGGGTTCTATCTGGTGGTCGGAGCCGGTGGTACGTGGAGCAGAGTGCGGCCTATTTTCATCAAAAGTGTTATCTCAATGTGTTGGCTTTGGCCGCGTAGAGTTGCTCATCTGTAAAGGAGAGCATTCTAGAGGCTGGGCGCCAAGATTCAGGCAACTCATCAGTAGGGGAGAGGACTCCACCCCCAGGAACATCTAACAATTACCGAATAGCCACAGTTGTGAGTCTCAAGAAGGAGTCACCTCAACGGGAGACGTGGTGCATGTCACGTCCCCTTGTTCTCGGAAGGGGTTCAAGACATTGCTATCAACGATGTCGTGAACCTGTCGAAGGCCACCATAGCCGCGGAAGATTCAGGTGAGAGGAAAGTGCAAGGGGAGAAGGTGAAGGAGTATAAGCAAGAGATGATTATTCGGGCGGCAGTGCCCAGATTCAATGCTGCCGACTTGTATACGTAACACAAGAATGCACCCAAAGCGTCAGTCGAAGGATTCATGAGAAGGCAGGTTCAGAGCATTGATACAGTGGAGTAAACAAGATATGTCAAAGCTTTGGTATCAAAGGAGATAAAACTTCAGGATGTCTGAACAATCCTGCTCTTCGTCAAACTCTCTGAACGCTCTGACTCGTCTTCCACCATGGCGGCTGGTGCCCGGTATGACTCTAGTGCTCCCTTCAAACACTCCAAAAGTGGCAAGCCTTGCAGAGAGTATTAGTCATGACACCTCAACTTGTTTCTATAATTTGTACGCACACAATGTCCCATGACGGTGAATCCTCCCCTTCTAGATATCTCCCGCTGATCGTTCCTGTCCAAAGCCTACATCCGGCGCCGTATAAATCTCTACTCACAGTGAAGAGTCCAGATCGGAAAGAAGGGTTTGAAAAAGCCTTTAGTTTTGTTGGATCTTTCAAAAACCAAAACTAGCAGCTTCGTGATTTTCTTCTCCAGACTGGACTTTTGAGACAGAGATCCGGGCCCTTGTTGCACCTCATTTGATAAGAAACCCGCATTATCAGTCACCCTAAAGATCTCTACTTTGTCTTCATCTCTTCTCGCGGCCGACAAACCATAAACATCCGCCCCCACAACCGAGCTCAAAGTCTCAAATTCTCATCCCAGCCGCCAAAAGAAAAGCCTCCATCCCAGCTCGTCCCACAATACTCCTCGACGTTCTCACCTCTGGACCGTAAGTATCGTGCAACGAGCCTAGCTGCGTTTGAAGTATCGCAAGGATGCTCCGAAAGCGTTAGAACCAGGTCCGCCTTTCCAGGAAGCGCATACGCCGCACGCCGGGTTGCAACATGTTCTACGCGTGCGCTACCTCGATTCGGGAATAGCGTGTATTCGAGACGTCTGTGCCTCCCTTCGCCGTGCCCGTCGCAACCCCATAAATTTTGGATCTTGTTCGTGCGGAGAGGTCTGATTATTCCTCTCAAAAATATGAGCAGAAGTGCGCGATAGCGATAGGGAACGAGTACGATAAAAACGGCTGATAGAGTTCCGACCACCTTTCTTTCTCACCTCAATTCAATGACAGCTCCAGGACATGGACAACAGCGTAACCTATTATACTTACAATTGCAGCAAGTGGAAAGCGACCACTTGTACTGTGTGTCGCGAAGGATTCCTGCAACAAACTGTGCCACTTGCACCACCCTAGACTCAGGTCGGTGTCTACCTCCTCAACCCCCAAAGACTTCACGGCATAGCCGAGAAAACTCTCCACGTGCTGCAGTGTTCGACATTATCCCATGCAGCACCGTCAAGATTTCCACTTCTGGTCATCCCTCAGCGGTTCAACAGGTGGTACATCTCAGGTCGAAACATATGCGTATAAACCCCTTCGGCACATTGTTTGCAGAAAGGTGAGATCATAAGCATATACATATGTTCTCGCTCGCAGACACATGAGCGTGGTAGGACTGAGCCTTCCAGACCCCAATTCCTGATACGAATTTCGTAACGGAAGTGATGAGGCGAAAGACCTAGACCACAGACATGAAACCCGTTTATCATGACCAAGACTGCTAGAAGTCACCATGGTGAAACAGCATGCGGCCATGTACAATTCGAATGACCTCCCCCACCATCCCCTCAACTTCCATTACCATGCTTTGGTGAGCACGTCCACTTTCTTGAAAGCTACTCACGGTCCTTTCCACCATGCATCTTTTTCCATTCCTCTCAATCGCTCTCACCGCACTGATTCCAGCAATCCTAGCCCAAGGTTATGGCGGCGGCTGGAACCGACATCGAACCTCTACCACCACCAGCCCAGCACCGTCCGAAGACACATCCCAACCCTCCAACAACCCCAGCACACCAGTCGTCAGCACGGGCGGCGTGCACAAAGGCTTCAACTACGGCGCTGCGACCAACGGCGCCGCCACCGACTTCGCGGCCGAATTCACCGCCGCGCAAGAGCTTTCCCATACCTCCGGCTTCAACAGCGCACGCCTGTACACCATGATCGAATCCGGGACGACGGATACTCCATCCTCTGCGTTCGATGCGGCCATCAACACAGGCACGAGTTTACTTCTCGGGATCTGGTGTTCGAGCGGTCAAACAATCGTCACGAACGAGCTGAACGCGCTCGCGGCAGCCGTGAAGCAATATCCAAAGCTCAATGCCCTGGTCGTTGGGATCTCCGTCGGCAGCGAAGACCTGTATCGGAACCCTCAAGGGGGCGGCGCCAGCGCCGCCACCATCCTCTCGTACATCAGCCAGACGCGCACCGCCATGAGCACCGCGGGGGTAAGTTGGCCACTGGGTCACGTGGACACGGCCAACATCTGGCAAGGGAGCGACGGGGCTTCCCTAATTGACAAGATCGACTGGATTGGCGCGGACGTGTACCCGTACTACTCTAGCGGTTCTCCCTCCAGCCTCAGCGATTTCACGTCCGGCATGGCTGTGATTCCAAACTCGAAGCCCGTATGGGTAACGGAGACGGGATGGCCCACGAGCGGGACGTTCGCCGGGACGTCGTCGGTGGCGTCATCGGAGAATGCAGCGACTTATTGGAAGACTGTGGGATGTGGGCATTTATTTGGAGCGACAAATACGTGGTGGTATACTCTTTATGACGGGAATGTTCCCCTTCCTTTTGGGGTCAGTTCGTCGGCAGGAGGTACCAGTCCGAAGTATAGCCTTGCTTGCTAGAGGATGAACGAGCCCTGGCGGTTCTTCTTTCTTTTGAGTTATTTGTATGTTGACCCCGGGCTTTGGAATGCTGAGGTATAAAGACTTTCCGTGGTCCGAACACTGCATAATCTCGAGACCTTAATCAAATCCCTTATCCGTGAATGTTCTCTTCGTCTGAGATGTAGGAGAAAGCAACTCAGAAGAATTCCAATACTCGAGTGCATGTCGTTGTCAACCCTGTGCCTTGCAACTGCAGTGCCGACGTTAGCATCTCAGTCAGTGCTCAGACCTGCGTAGAGCTTCCCAACAATTGGTTTCTCAACCTGGAAGCTTGTCAAGCAACAATGGCCAATATCCCCCTCTACTTTCACAACGCCCCACATCAATGATTTCTTGGCAGCATCTACATCCCCTCTCGGCCTATGACATGCTGCACTAATCGCCGCGCTACAGCTTCCAGCGAGCGGCATACCTGGTCGGAATATCCTGAACCCGTTGAGGATGCCGAGCAGTACAGCGATCGTACCAAGCGCGATGACCGTAATGATGGCGATGTTGGAATAGCCGATGTTGGAGATGGACTCTCCCGGATCCACGACGCCTTCACTAGTGAAGGCCGATATGCGGGCGAGAAAGATACTTTGAGAGACGAGCCAGTGAAGGATCCCGGAAAGTACCAGCAACGGTACACCGTACTTGTATGGCAATTGCAGCCTGTAGGTCGAGCGCTGAGACCCTGTTGGACTCGTAACGCGCAAAGGTTTCCTACTGTATGCGTATTCGGCCCATTCATTCGCAAGCAGCATGCAGGTGAAGACGCCGTTGTACGCAAGATAGAGAAAAGAGAGTAAGACCTGTAGCGAATTGGCAACGAGGATGGCAACTAGTAATCCTCCGGTCCCGGGCAAGCTCCAGCTAATCATCGATTGAGATGCGACAGTGCCATAGCCCAGCTGCCACAAGTATGCTAGGCTACGGTCTGTGAGATTTGGATTCCCGATGCCCAATGCGAGACATCCACCTGCGGCTCCTAGGGTTGCAACGCATCTACTGATGTGTTAGCGCATTAGAATTTTGGGAACAGGCATCCTGGGCAAATGTGGTGGCAACACGCAATTGTAGTGTATTAGACTGTGGACTTGCTACTGCTCCTTCCCTCAGCCCCACCTACTCGGAGACACTAGATGACGGCTCAATGGACCAGAAGTCGAGAGCGGAGCCCAAAGGGATACTTTGGCTTAGGTGGAGCGACCCTAAAGTCATGGAGAATAAAAAGTACCCACAAGATGTTGCAAACCAGCCAACGCTTCAAGCTTGCGCTCGAAAACCACCAATGCCGGCGATTTGACCACTCCATGGGTTTGTCTATCCACTGAGTTTTATCCGAGTTAGGTTTTTGCCACAAACGCCGAAGTCTGCGATTCTGTGACATTGATACTTTTTTCATTCGAGCGTCGTTAAGATGTGCCTTGCTGGCTAGGCACATTCCCTCAGTGCTAGGATCAGGTTCTTGTAGGAAACTTTGAATTGCATCCCCCAGAGTGACTAAAGGTTGCGACTTCTGATTTCTGATTGTAAGAAGCATGCAAAGAGCTTTAGTGGCGTTGCATGCTATCACGATACCCAGAATCACGAGACTGACCTGCACCCGACACTGCTCCTCCACTGGCTGGCTAAAACAGTATTGAACCGGGCAGCCTTTTTGTTGGATTTGATCATGTGTGGTCTGATTCGTTGTTAGTCCGTCATTGATTTCATAGGTGATTGTCCAATTTGCAGCCCGATCTGCAACCGCATTTACCGAGCAGTCATTTGCGAATGTCTGCTCCGAGATGTCACACATCCACCATGTGTTTCCAAACCCGTTGCCGGGGCCGTACACAAACGATACGATCATTTCCGACGCACTAATAGCTGGCGATATGAGCAGTAGATCTCCGTGGGCGGATACGTAATCCTGCCCGTAAGCCTTGATACAGTCTCTGTTGTCCAGCTTCTGCCATCCTGACGCATTTTGAAAATGCTGCATAGTGTCGTATGGTCCAGTATTTGTCCAATTGGTTGGACTGGTCCAATTGAAAGCCGTGCGATTGGCGGAAAATTCTTGGGCGGCGACACCGTTCACCAATTCCGCGGAAGCCGCAAAGACGGAATATTCATGGGCGGAGAGAGTTGAGAACACGACACTGTTGTATAGTAAGTGTAATGGAATGCTAGAAAACGCCATCGACCACCAAAGCACAATTCTGCCCCGGCCGATTTGTCTAAGATTGCGTAGGCTGGGAATGCCGATATCCAACCAAATTCGTTTTCGATGTGCTTTATCAATCTCTTCGCGGGTTGGCGACGAGAGGCACTGCATTGTGTAGTTGCTAGCACCTAGGAGTAGCGTACTGAGCAAGTTGATGGCTAAGTGCAGCCACAGACTCAGATGCTTTGTCTTTTGGCAGCTTCCTTGCTGTAGAGTTCCCAGCCCTCCTTCCAGACCATCCCCAGCAGCGACCCAAGTGATTACAATCAGGTTGATGACAAGTACAGTTCCCGTGGTGATGGCACACAGAGTGACACCCATGCGCCAGCCTTGGAAGTGGCCAGGGAGTCGAAGAATGTCCTTTTCGGATGTAGCTTTGCCGCTTGTAGAAGAAGCAGGACTTGTTGGCCTTGAAAGCCCTAGTGGCGGCGCTCCCTCAGAACAGTCGCAACAGGGCTCCGCAATCTTGTCTGGGGTCCTGTGCAATCCAATTTTTCAGCTAGAGCTCAACCCAACAACACTAGCAATACCCACACATCAATGCTACCTGTCTCAAACTCGTACCTAAGTGGGTCGAAGTCGATCGGCGGGAACACGAAAGGCTCTGGGAGCCATGGGCGTAGTTTTGTACTCATACCCTTGGCGATGCATGTGGGTCAAGGCTCCAGCAGTGGTTGAAAGGCCTTTGTCGAAGAAATGATTGAAAGCAGACATGGAGGCCGAGAACTCCATCTATACGATGGCATCATCAACGACGTTTTGACATTCACAAAGCACAGCCTCACTCGCTAAGCGACAATAATACGCGACACATGACTAGATATTCGCGGCCCACACGGCGGTCACCCATCAAAAGTGGACTACTGCGCATGTCGGCTCAATCCAACCTATTAGTCGTTAATAGAATATTCGTGCAGTGAAGCGTTCGATCACTTGCGAGAATCCACATTCTGGTAGAATAAGAAAGATGTATCAAATCCACGATGTCTACGTCCCCACCCTCACATGATACGTACTCACCGCGAAGATCCATGCCAGGAACCTGTCTTGTCCCTCGAGTGCCTCTCCGTCACAAGTTTCCAACACGCACATAGTGCCATAAACCATCCTAGCGTCTCCACAAAGCTGCAACATGAACACCATCACGATCCGCGCGGCTTCCAGGCCCCACGTCAACGAGTTTATAAATCTGGCTTTGTAGGCTTCGGGCCTCGACTTCGTCCGACCAGGTACAAGGCCTTAAGATGAAGGTCTATATTAAGTCAAGGTATAGGTACCTATCCCATGAAGCTGAATGTATGTCGTGGAGAGGGAAGCACTTTCCTGGCGTAAGAAAACGCCAAACATTTACATTTTCTATATTATGTAAGCGTCTTTGATAGGTCGGAGGCCTGCGCTGTGTGATCAGTCAATCCCTTGGGGCCGGTCGCCACACCGGGTTGGAAGTATCAAACGACTGGATTGTGATTGCATTAGTTCGTTCATTTGCATGCTGAAAAAGACCCAAACGCCTATGCTACATACTAAGTCCATGCCAAAACCCGACTCATATCCGTGTATCCCGTGCCTTTGTGTATGAGCCACCATCGACATGATTCAATAAGCAACGCACGAAGAGCCCTTTCCTGAAACGCCCATGCTGCTCGTCAAGCCTTGCACCGCTACGCCTTGTTAGTGAAGCCGACGTCCACCTCAATGCCCTGAGTAGTCACATGCCATCTCCCCTTCGCCAGCTGGCCCTGATCATTCAGCTCGGTATCAGAGATGTCGCTCGCATCCCAGCAGCAATACTCTTCGTTGCGAAACATGGCGAGCCAAAAGCGCTCGAGGTAGTGACCCGTTTCAGGATCGACGCTCTTCATGTCCCCCAGAAAGAGGTCCTGTAACATCCGCTGGTAGAGTTCTTTTGGATGCTGGTGGACGGTTTCACGTCTTACCGCGAAGATCGCTCCAGGTTGAAAGCCGACCGACTTAGGCGGTCCGTCGTGACCGAAGTTGTTGAAGAAGTCTTTGAAGTATTGTGCCGGCGTCTCTTGGGCCTCTCTTCCCTTGAATACACCCTCTGGTGATGACCACTTTGCCCAGCATGGGTATTTCTCCCAGGGAAAGCCTTCCCAAAGGTCGAAGAGCTCCATGGCGCGGTGTGGGAAGGTGGTGACACGTCCTGGTTTGGTATTGAGGGCTATTTCTCTCATCTCAAGTGCGTTGAGATCGGTATGGTCATCAACGCGGGCTTGCGTGAAAAGGGTGACATCCTTGAGGCTCTCGTAGTTCTTGACGATATGATGAAGGTAGGTGTGACCTTCGCGGCCGATGTTTTCGAGGGATTCGGCGTCGAACTGAAGCTCGGGCGCGTGCTTGGTACCGCCTTTGGAGTAGACCTTGCAGTATTCGATGACCGGTTTGAGCCAGGTAAGGTCTTCATTGTAGTGCGCGACGACTATTTCAAAGTCCAGATGGTCCCGCGTTACGGTTGAGGAGGCTCTCCTGGATGAAAGGGGTGTTATAGCGGATAGGTCTGAAATAGACTCAGTCACAGGTGTGCTTGAAAAAGAGACTGCCGAGGATGAGTCGGACGTTGGTGCAGTCTCAGGCGAAGTTGGCTGTGCGGCTGGCGCAGAGGATGCGGACGGCGAACCGAGCGCAGATGTTTTCAATAGGAATGCGACGGCCGATGGGTCTGACATGTTGAGAGTCTTGAAGTAGGAAGAGAGTGTGGATTGGTATGAGTGAGGATCTAGCGGTTGGAGGATGTGAATGATGGTGTGATAGGAGGATGGTGTTGACTATAGAGAGAGGTGATAGTCGATCTTGAACCTGCTGGCTGGTTAATTTCAAGGTGGAGGAGGGGAGAAAGGAAGAAGCAGGGCGTGAGTAGATATGGTCACAAACGACTCACAATGGTCCAATGTTGCCCATCCTGAAACCCTTCACAGTCCGAGCTCCCAGAGCTGCAGCCAAAGCTCGACGTCATTGTTGAGAGATGAGGTGTCATTTATTTTTGTTGAGGCTATGTCACAACCCAACCAGCAAACGTCATTCCTGATAACAGGGAACAGGATTGTGTTGATGGGATTTGAAAGGTGTTGCCGTACCACTCGGAGGAAGATCCGCACCACGAATGGCATTATCGGTGAGATTGCTCCGGTGCCAGATCATTGCCGTGGCTAATGTATGCTTGACGTTGTTGCCAATAGGTATGATGGTGATGATGGTGATGATGTCAAGTATGCTGCGGGACAAGCATCAAGCCCCAAAGAAGTGTCCACTCCCATCGCTAGCTAAGTACGAGTAGCAATATCGAAATTGAGAATTCCGTACGCCGTATCCACGATTCAACAACCATCGAACGTATCCAACTGCTCTTTATTTCAAAAGAAAACGTGGATACTGAGATGGCACCTGCAAAGTGAGGACGGCAACGTCAAGGTTTGATTTGCCAACGGCCGGGAGTTTTTCTGGTTTCGTGTCCTAGCGGATTATACGAGAATACAGGTGAAAGCGGGGTTACATCCAATCGGAGGAGTCGCCTCTATCTTGAGTCACCGTCGCCATTTCTGGAAAAGTGAAAACTGAGTATGTAGGCGCTTAGACCTTCCGCAGGAGATACTCGGCCGAGCGCTGGAAAACTGGCTGGGCTGTAATCATAACACTCAGACCATGTGCCTCATCCTTGACAAAGATGAAATATTAACACGGCTGTCAGACTTGAAACTTGACAGCCAGGAGTGCGAAAAGGCATCTCTGGGGAAGTTAAAAACTAGTACAAACAAAGGTCATGGTTAGCCTGTCGAGAGAGTTGTAAGGTAGATCAGGTATCAGATTTTTCCAAGAAAGTAGCTTCAGTATCTGCAGCCCAGCTCGTTCAGTATGACGCAAAGGACCTAAGCTGAAGTAGGCGTCGCCACGGGACGCTTGAAATGAGGGGTGAGTTTCAAGGCTTTTGACAGCATCGTCCTTGACTGTAGAGGAGCATGCCTATCCTCAAAACTGGAGACACCGTCCCCGAGACTTGGCGCCTGTTGAAACAGGGTGGCCAATGTACTAGCATGATGAGAGCAAAGCAACGAATTGGAGAATATGTGAGTCAGAAGAAGTGCCAACTGCCAGAAATTTCTAGTTCTTTCCTTCCATAGGGCTGAAAGCCGCCGCTAACAAATGTTTTTCTCGCCTCTCTCACTAAAGTACCTACGGGTACGGTATTCACTTTGGCATCAAAAATCGGGTTTCGCCTGAAAATTCCCCAATCATGATGGTCTAGAAGCAAAGTCAAGATGAGTTTTGGGTCACCTTGCGATCTGCCAAATTCTAGCTGTGCGTGTCTAGCCTCAAATTCGAGGTCCTACCGCTTAACACAGCTTCCTTGGCCTCGAGATTGAACGGAAACCGCGAAAACTTCTCAGCGTAGCGCTCACTACGGTGTGTTTCTCTTTTTGCCCGGCTGCATTTTAGCCGCCATGCTGCCCAGAAAGCATACTACGAGCAGGCAGCTGCTTGCCGAATCAACCTGAATTATTGTACCCAAAGGCCTTCATTAGCTCATTCACCCACACAACTGTGAGTCTTGAGTTTTGTTGGAACTGGAGATGCAAAGTAGACGCGAGATGACGAGAAAAGCCATGCGGGGGCACCAGGGGACTGTGTCTCAGTATTGTTGGACTGAGACTCTTTGATGCTTGGGGGCGAGGCGAAAAAGATAGAAGAAAATTCTGGGCGAGACTTCGTCAGGCGCCTTCCACTTCCGGTGGGGTCATGCTGAGGCTGTGGGGGGACTCTTCGACGAAAGATTGTTCAGAGGTAATGGATTGACGAAATCTATGGAGTAAATTTCTATGTAGAGATAGTAGCAAAGGCCTGTGGCAAAAGGACGCTAATACCATAACACACATCAATGGACCAATCAAATGGCCATGTACGTATTGCCACTTGTCCCTGCGTATGACACGCATCGAACAGTGGTATCACGGATCGACGTTATCAACTATGGATTTAGAAGAGAATGTTGTACCCCCTGCACACACTCATAGACCAACATTTTCTAGCCTCCCTACTAGTCCGAGAATCAATTTTTGTTGGTTACCATTATTATACATGTGCATTCTCGCTAAGGAAAAATCATGTTATTCTTTTCATGCTTTAGGCTATCATACATTCACCAGACGTAGCATCACACAATTCGGCCTTCCGCATCTTCCCGTCCGCCTATCTCACAGGCTACAATGACGTCTCGATGTTGGCTCAAAGGTTCACCCCACCATGGTCGTATCAGAGATGAAGACTTCTCCTACGAAGACTCGCACATGTATGTCTGACCACGTCAACGCACCCCTCACATCTCCTTGGCATCGCCACAGTTTGCCTGCTAGTCCCGGAGAGACCACCCTCCTGACAGGCTCGGGGAAAGGGAGCTTGATGCAGACCTGGTAGCAGAAGTCGTGGGCGTAGTAGTAATGGTCGACGACATCAGAACTGTGGGCAATAACAGCCGAGGACACGCGTCTCGGCCAGTGATATCGCGCCTGCGTATCTCAAGATCTTCAGAGGGGAGACCCCAAGCCGTTCGAAACCGCCACTGGATACACCGCCTCGGGATCCTCCTCGGGTCTCGCGTGAGGTTAGGCTTCTTCCGTGATGCGGTTCTTGACAGCGCCCGCTGTGCGCACTGTGCCCGGTTCCGGAAATCGCGCAGGGTTCAGAGCCATGAAGCCCAGAAACCATGCCCGCCGCATAGGAAGTGCCTGTTTCTTGCTGGCTGCCCCCCCCTGTCGACGTTGGCGGCGCACTCGACGTCGACGCCGGGTGCCCACACGCTGACGAGGGGACCTTGCTGTGAGTCGGAGGCCTCCTCTCCGCAAGTGTCAACTGAGCCGAAGACGATGATATTAGGGTAGTTGGCGGCCGCAATGGCGGGGTACAAGTTGACACTGACTGAACCACCTGGCTGGCCCTGTACTGTTCAGTTCACTACCCTTCGAATGTGGTAAGGGTAATGGTCAATGAGAGTGCTTACCCTTACGTTTCCTGCACCAGCTACAATAACAGCAACGAGTGCGAGCAGAGCTTGGATTGCTGAACGTCAAGTCCGATCATCTCGGAGCTAACGGTGGTTGATACCCGCCAACTGCGGGTGACAGAAGTCTAAATCATCCTGAGGACTTGCAACCGACTTGAGGCCGCCCAAACTTGACGCTACTCGACAAGATCTGCTTCAACATATTTGACACAGGTTCCGTGACGCAAATGGAATTCCCCACACGAAGAGAGGACCTTCTAGATTAGATTTGTACACAATTGACTTTATCGAATTCTTCCATTGCGGTTAAGCGCAGATTTCGATTTTTGATTCACTATAAGTGATGATACTAAGAAAAGTAAGGAGTCGTGTTGTATCCCGCGCGTCTACGGAGGTCTGTACCAAAAATTCTGCACCCGCGCTAGGAATAGCCCTAGCCCTACTTTCGGAAGGCGGCCCTGCAGTGGGAGCCCTAGAACCAGCTTGAAGGAGCGCATATGTTGAACTTTTAGGATCTTTGTGGGCGCTATAGGGTCGTTGGAACCCCGGAGTAGGCTGAGGTCCGGCAACCCTTGAGGTGGGGCGATATCCGACATCTGGGCCCTTTCCTTGGCATGGTGCAGGACTTTTGGTGCAGACCTCAACAAGCTTTCAATATTTCAACAACGAAATTTCATTCGTTCGGATAATTGAATGACCCGCAGTTCCTTAGACGGCGCAGAGCCGGACGACTGACCCAACTGGATTTCGCCTCCATACACATGTGCAATCGATACGCCCATCTTATTGCGGATTTGCTTGCACGAAGGACTCATTAACACACGATTACCTCGTGGCAAGTATTCGGCGAGGTCGAGGATGATCTCAGTGGGGAAACCAGTGGGGTAAGGTTATTGGGAAAGGCAGTTTTCGGGATGCTAGGTCTCGATTGATGTGCAGAGGATTTATTATTGTTACATTGTGGAGCTTTTGGCATTCTGCTTTCTTTCCCTCAGTCGTCAAGCGCCTAGAGTACTTGCCGAAGAAAAGCCAGAGAGGCAAGCAAGGAGACCCTTTAAGGTATTTATTGAAGTCACGGAAGCGACTAGGGCCGAACATCCGAAGACTACTCTGTAGAAAGACTGCGCTTGGCATCTCTAAAATAAAGTACATTACATTATTCTCTGCGAAATGCACAAGAAGCGAATAAGAATGCAATGCAGCGTTTTGATTGATCGAAAATCAGATAAAGATTGCATAAAATACTTAATAAGATGTCCTTACATAAAACCTTAGAGCTGGGTCTAAACCTCTCTCATCCTTTATCCATGACGACATACTTTAATTCTTTCCGGTTCGCCTATTTGCCGATTCCCGTACCCCCTCCATACTTTATCTAAGTAACCTTCCTGCAACCAGAATCCTTCATCCGCTTCAAACCCCAATATTCATATATATACACTATCGTTCGAACAATCATGTCTCAGTGCTGCTTATCTGGATTCAAATGGGATGGTAAGCCCATCGGTGAAGAGACCAAACTGGGCAAGAACGACACCTATGTCACCGGTTCCAACAAAGAGGTTAGTTAGCTACTTGAGAAAACCATGAGACTGCGGCTGGTCTGACTTAATATGCAACGCACCAGGTCGCTATCCTCATGATCCACGACGTCTTCGGGTGGACCTTTCCCAACGCCCGCCTCCTCGCCGACCACTACGCCAAGGAAGCAGATGCCACCGTCTATCTTCCGGACTTGTAAGTTCCCATTCTACCCGCCGAGATCAACATCGTTAGGTTAAGAAGAGCTCTGATACCGCTTTTCATACAGCTTCGACGGTGAGGTCGTCACCCCTGGCGCAATAGAGGGCGGCAAGTTCGACCTGATGGCATTCATCGGTCGTCACTCCAAGGACATCCGCTTCCCCGAGATCGAAACCTGCGCCAAATCTTTAAAGCAAGAGCATGGCTTCAAGAAGCTCGGTGCGATTGGATTCTGCTATGGTGGATGGGCCGTCTTCCAGCTCGGAGCCAAAGGCTAGTCCACTCTTTCCCAATCACGCGCAAGGTATCATTTTCTATTAACGTATTGACCTTCCCTCAGGCAAAAACCTAGTGGACTGCATTTCGATCGCGCACCCCTCCCTCCTCAAAAAGGAGGAAATCGACGCCGTCGGCGTCCCGGTGCAGATCATCGCCCCGGAGAACGACCCACAGCTGACACCCGAACTGAAAGCGCACGCGAACAGCGTAATCCCGAGCTTGAATCTCGAATACGACTATCAGTATTTCCCCGGATCGAACCACGGTTTCGCCGTTAAGTGCGATCAGAGCGATGTAAAGCAGAAGAAGGCGTTGGAGAGGGCAAAGAATGCGGCTGTGGGGTGGTTTGCGCAGTTTTTGCATCTGCATTAGACACCAGTGGCAGTGTCTCTTTTGTCGTGTCAAAGAAAGGTGGTTGAAAAGGAACCAGAAGGATCGGAGTGCACGCACAACTAATGGCATCAAGTATTGAGCACCGCAGGTTTGGGCTAACAGCATAGTTTTGTAATGTCATGATTATTGAGCGTTCTGCTCCGACAATATCTACTTTCGCTTTATGACATGCTTTCAGCTGAAGCAAAAATGATTTACGCGATCGGTTACAACAGCACCATGGAAACGAAGTGTGAATAGTGGCGGTGGGAGGAATTAGCCAAGGCAACTCCAGTCCAACAGATTGTGACCGGGGCGGGAAATAGAGCGAAGAGGTTTTTTATGGCAAGTAATTCCGAATTTGCAGTACTTTAGTCTCACTTTTTTCTGATTGGCCGTCCTAGCCAGTCTTTACCGAGTGAGGCTAGCGTCAATTAGGTGGGCTCACTCAAAGTAAAACAACCATCTTCCGCCAGCACGACGCCGCGTTGATGAACGAGGCAAATTAGGTGAAGCTCAGATGGACCAACAGCATGACTTGATGCTTTCATTGTTCTGTTGTTACTCGCTAAATTGTTATCTAGATGTCACAGGCCGCCACAACCCCCGCTGCACAGGTTACAGTTTCCAACGTAGCAAGAAATTGCAGCTTAGTATGGCTCTTCTTGAATAACGTACAGCTTGCCGCTGGTTTGGGAATGTCATGTATCCTGTCATCATTCCTTATTTTCTCTCATTGAATGTCTCCGGCCTCGAACAATGACATCCTTTATCGTTGTGTTTTTTGCTTTCGCTCTTGTGCTTCCACTGTATGCTGTGCCGGTCACGCGAACGTCGTCAACAGACACGCTCATATATGATGCTGTGGTGGTGGGAACCGACGAAGTTGTCGAATTGATGCCAGCTCTCACTGGCTTACCGAGTCCAATTTTCATTCTAACGAATGTAGACATCGGTACGTGTGCTTCAGGGGAGATATGCGTCGCAGAAGCCTTCACGGATAGTGCTAGCCATGTAGCATCATCCGTGGTTGCTGAGTTTCGCGTGTTGCCCGCTTCGATCGTTACCGCACTGGAGGACATTGTTGAGGCTATAGATGCAGGGATTGAGGTTGATAGATTTGCCAGCAACACCATGAACAGCGGTCTTTTGATTTCGCTTACCTCGGCGTCTACAAGGCAGGGCGAGACTATTGGGAGTGTGTCAGCTTCGGAGGGTTCGTCTGGTCGATCAGCTGTGTCAAACAGACACCATCTACGCAGAACGCTTCGCCAGACGTGGTATCAAACCCTTCAATGTCTGCGACAACCTCTGTCAATTCTTCTGGTACAGGGGCTAGGATATCAGCGAGTAACAGCTCTGAGGGCAACAGTCCTCCAGCAAACACACACAATACTGCTCTCAATATGGCAGGGTCTCTGCCAGTCACGAACAAGGGGTTGGGAGGCAGTAACCGTACTAGATCTGGAACACCGACAACTTCGTTACCTACAGGTCTAGTCACCTATGCCGTCAAAATCACAAACTCCCAAGGCTCCGTCACGAATGAGATTGTCCAAGTGGGATACTCTTCAGGTGTGCCGAGCACAAACGCTTCGTTCGCGTACGTAGACAGTGTCATGACTACGGTGACAATTGTGCCGATTGGAGTTTCGATCCAGACTATTACCACCTCAACATGTACCACTGCAGGCGCCATTATTACCGCGACATCGTCTGGAAGCACCATCGCAACCGAGGTACCTGAATTATGCACACACGGTCTTGCATTCCTCATTTTTGGGCTACCAGGATTTCATTCGTCTTCCGAATTTCCTTTTCTCTGCCACAAACTATCCTCCTTTCCTTTGGGGATCATATGGCGTTTATTCTGTCCTCTTGGTGGACCTCCTACCATTTCAATCATCAGCATCGATCCATCAAAATTGCCGCCAGGCGAGAACCCAAATGGTGACAATCCTGACGACGAAACGCCTACTCCGACTCAAAGCCCGAGCCAAACAATGCAGAGCATGGTTTCTTCATCAGCTGCAGAGACGCCAACTCGATGCGTGGTCATGCCATTAGTCAATACCGCCCAATCCGCGACCAATTCTCTGTTCGCCCCATATGCTCAACGGAAGGATGTCACGCAAGCAAATAGAAGCGACGGCACCCTGGAATTTTTCGCCTTAGAGCTCAGCGACACCGAGGCTTCGGTCATCGATGCTGATTCTGATTTTATCATCATACAAGAATCAGAACTTGAAATCGAAATGCCGGACAGTGGACAGACGGATCTAGATCTTAACGGCACCATCTATGCGACGGAGCCTCTTGATTCGAACCCTAACGTGGGCTCAAGAGATCTTCATGATGGAGACTAAAGGCCGAGAGGTGGTGGTCTATTCAAGCGGATTCCGGTCCAGGGCTGGGCGGAAAAGATTGCAGCATGGAGTCTTGCCATGATATCGCTAGCACCGGATCTTCCGTTGCCAGATTACAGACTTGGCGAACGGGGTGAGATGTACCCCTACTATTTCATTGACACAATAGAGCCTGGTCAAAATGTGCGGGTCTACCTCCTGGATACCGGTCTCAACATGCAGCATCCGGAATTCAGTGTTCGACCCAAGCCAGGCATCACACGTGGGCAAACTCAGGACGATTGGGACATAGACTGGCTTTTTCCTAGAGTAGATAACAAAGAGAAATTTTTTGTCACGATTCCCGGCGGCATGATTATCCAGCAGCCGTATGGATACAGCTACATCGACCCGGACTCCCCAAATCCTGATGGCGGGATCCATCCAGCTTATTCAGACTTCGATTAAGACAGGTCGAGTATGGTAGTTTGACACCCCATGGGACTCGCATGTCTGGCTTCATAATAGGAGATCATCTTGGTCAGGCGCAAAAGTGTCGTTATACGGTCGTCAAGTTGCCACAATATACCAACGGCCCTCGCTCCGCAAGTGGCGTATTGTTTCCCCTTTTCTCGGTCAAAGACGCGATTGCTATGATGACCGAGGATATAGAGGAGAAAAAGCGACTAGGAGAAGAATACTTTGTGATCTCCTCTGCCATGGGATATCCGTTTGGCGATCAAGGCGATGTAAGCCAACATCCAAAGAGTGCTGAGAAAAAGTTCTCAAAGCTGTGGAGAAATTTTCTAGACTGGGTTGATGACAACGCAATTACTATCAGCGCCGCTGCGGGGAATACAGGCGATGAGAATCCAGAGATTGGGAACAGCCGTGCGGGAATCCGGAGATTGTAATAGGAAGTGTTACACCTGACGCTGTGGCTCATCCGGAATCTCAAGGTCATATAGGAGACAATATTTTGACAGCCTACGCACCAGGTGCAGGTGCTCGGATCGTGTCAAGTGATCCAAGTGGGGCTTACATTTACCGATACCTTGACCCTACTCTGAGCGCCGTGACATCGTATGGTACGTTGCAAATCTCTGTTATATACATTCCCAGATGGGTATGAGAGGTCTGACGACCTCCTCTCACAGCGTGCGGAATCACATTGGCTATATCGCCCAAACGCTCGCCTTGGGATACAGCGGCAATGCAGTCATTCCTCCCAATCCGGGCGAGCAACCAAGTATATACGCCCACAGAATGGTCTCAACTCAGTCGAAGCCAAGATGTGCCGGCAGTGTGCCCATCATCTACAACAACGCACCGCTGGAGCTTTATCAGGACTGCGGGGGTCTTGGTGGATACAGAAAGCGCGACGGATCATGTCCATTGACTCAAGTCGACTAACCGTCAGGCACTGAAGCCTTGCCCGCCTCAATCGCGGCAGCTATCATGGCCGGAGATGGAGGCCGGTTTGGGGGAACCGCCGCTGGAATGTCCCCAACACCCGCAGCAGCTATCGGAGGGATCATAGGAGGGGTTTCAGTAGCGGCAGCCCATGCCTCGTCAACGCTTATCGCTTCGCCTTCGACAACCGCTACAACGACAGTGTCATGCTCCCACGCCGCAATCCCCGCAATACATGTGCAGCCATCGCCAGTGGTCCTGGCTGGTGTGTGTGCGGAGAGAGCCCCAGGTCGTACGCCGTACGAACTAGTACTGATCTCGCGTGTGGTTGGACCACTCTACCACCAACGACATCGTCCGACTACTCTGCTGCCACGACCACGTCTACACCCACAACGCCACCAGCCACAGCAAATCCAGCTCCTTCGACACCACCACCTTCATCTCGGTATCGCCATCGAGCTGCAACTTTACTCCGTCCCCAGCGGCGCAGAAGTCGCCACATGGTTTGCCTACGTTTACAAACCGGGAGACGCGAGCCTAGACAATGCCTGCAACAGCAATCCGAGCGGGACAGCTCCCGTGCCCGATGGGACACCTCTGTCCGAGGAGACGAGTCTTTACCCGGCTGACATGACGATATCGGCATACGGCCGGAAGCTGAGATATGAGTCCTTCTTTACCAGTGCGGTTGGAGAGCTGTGGGATACTGATACAGATGAGGTACTTGGCGATTGCAGTGCTGTGGCGGACGCGAAGAGTGTGGAGTGTGACTCGCAACTTGTGCTTACTCCGCGGCTACCGTGTGAATGGGTCAACTGAACTGCCGTCCTGGTGTGTATGTGTTCCTCTGTGTGGAGACAAACCACTCGCTGGCCATGTCCGTTCCTGAAGTTCCAAGACCGCGCTGTCTATGCCCAGAGCGATTCCACGACCAGATTGTAATTTCTCCTTTAGCAATCTTCATGATACAAACAAAGCGCACGAATTTCCATTCAGAAAGCGAGCTATCACCAACTATTGTTTCCTCTAACAACCCAACTACCGAGAAGTGTTCGAATCACGGAGCCAATGATTTGTGAATCGTGATGGCTCATATAATTAAACCTGAGAGGCGGACCAGGGAAAGAATACAACTCAACAGAAAGTGAGCAACACCAACGCAAATCTACGTAGTATCACTTTAATGAATGCAATATAACTGCATAGCGAATTATACACCAGCCTCCACGGAAGCGTACCCACAATTCTGACGCTATCCCAACCTAATTGGCTGTACCTGTCTATCCAAATACAACCCACATAAACAGCATCGACATCCATGAAGTTCTCGGAGCGTTACGAGCTGCTGGCAAAGAGACAGACCGAAGCCGCTCTCGCCTTGATCCTCTCAGCCACTCCATCGACCTGGCACACGAGTTCGCCCTGCTAAGCAAGCTTGTAGCAACGTGAACGTCCACATCAAAGACTGGATGCTTAGGGATGCATAGGGCAATGTCCAGTCGGAAGAGTCAAGTCTCAGAGGCACGTACTCGCCACCGTGACTCGAGAACCACAGGGCCATACTGAGTCATTTACGTACATAAATACATACATCCATGCTGACAACAAAGCCTTCACTCACTAAGTAGAATGACCAACCCCGCTCGTGCGATCCTGAAAAATCCCTCACCGCCGGCTGTGGCGCATGGATGGGGGTGAGATTCAGACTCTCCTATCCGTCCCATCTGAACGAAATCCTCCGAAAAGACGCCCATATTCGATACCGCACAGCCAGACATGGAGCTCTCCATCTCGAATCTCGCACAACATTTCGTCTGCTTCATCTCTCCAACGTTGGAAGGAAAGTGAAAGTGCCAACAGCGCTGCAAAAACCCGCCGAGGGCGCAGCGCCCGAATATGTATGTATGTATGTCATTCAAGGCATTCTTCGCTCGCCCGAGGAAGCGGGACTTGTAGCCAATGACTCGGCCAACACATTGCCCATCTTCAAAGGCCAAACCAAGGGAATTGGCAAAACGAGACTCGTCTCTTCGCGATCTTCAAAACACGCCTCACACCTGTACGTAACCGAGAAAGCAGCGGCTTCGTGGTGGACCGTGCCTAACGTCTCGGCTCTCCCGAACGCATTCGTATATCGTAGTGGTTGAACGAACGAACGAGCGAAACAGGACACCGAGCGCGCAAGGAAGCAGTGCTGAAACAGGACTCGACTCAATTCATTAACTGGGCGTGAGCGAGTAGCTGGATATAATGAAAGAGAAATAGGCGCCACGGCGGCTGAGAGGAGAGGAGATGGCGGGTTTGGAACATGCCTGTTTCCTCCATGGTGATGCAAGAGCGATTTTTAGGAAAGGGACATCCACTTCGCGCACCGAAGAGTAGGTGAGTGAGCTACACGATACGCTTACTAGATTAGGGGGTGGGGGGGAAGGGTTGCCTGGGTGGTGAATGAATGAATGAACGGGATTGCGAATAATGAACATTTCTCTTAGCCCATCCGAGGCGGCAGGCACCCAGGCAGGCAACGAAGGAAAGAGGATACGACGCATGCAAGGAAAAACATGGAGCTTACGAGCGTGCAGGGAGGAAGAAACACACCCGAGAAGTGTGACACATGCGCAGGCTATGAGAATTATTCTCGAGAGGAGGATGTCACAAGCGGAGCTATTGCGAGTTAAAAGCCGCAAGGGAGGGCGAAGCCCAACACACGTACCCACGCACCTCCTTCTACCGTCGCAAACCCCGCCAATACAAGGACTCATCCGAGCGCGATACAACCACAGCCCTACACCACCTTTCACAAGCCAGAGCCAGATGATGTCAATCCCAGCCAGGAGCGCTAAGATCCCATTAAACACCTCGTATAAAGCACGAATGAATCGCTAGTCCAGGTCCCAATCGCGATCCGCAATCCGCAATCCGCAATCCAGCAACACGAAGCCCCCAACCAATCAACCGTGCACGAACGAAATCACCCAACGAAAAGCCCTAAAACAAGAAAGATCGGTCAGTCAGGGTGCATACATACATAGCATAAGGTAGCCTCGGTACAGTACAGTACAAAAACCCCAATCACACCAATGAAGAAAGTAGACATCTCAATTCCGGCCCCAGCCCCACTCCGCTCAACCGCGTTCGCGTCTCCCACGAACATACTCAAGTATTGCAGCGTCACGTATAGTCCGCATTATCATCACATCGTCCCAGTCTGTCGCGGCCGTTTTGTGACATATGTACTACTGCAAACAGAGCGTACGCTACATCTTGCGTCTCATCTCTTCCAAACTGACCGAAACAAGTCAGCGCATTTGCGGCATACAAGTTCATGTCGAAGTAGACAGACAGACAGACAGACAGACAGACAGACAGATAGATAGATAAACAATCACCCAACTGTAATCCCACAACCTTAGGTACATACAGCAATATCGCACAACCCTACTCTCCACCCACGAACACACGCATCCATCCATCCGCCGTGCCACAACCACCCAACTCCACTCCCCCAACAGCATCATCATTCATTCGTTCATCCACTCATGCACGAACACAAGGCTCTCGAACCAACAACTTTGAATCCAAAAGTCGACGTACGGATATACACACATACTGTACCCCTCAAGGAAAAAAGAGCCCCACGACGATCAAAAGACGACGGGAGGGTGAGATACGCACTCAATGGTTTGAGACGGCCGGTTGTCCTGCAGACCAACAGACTCTCGTCGTACCGTGGACTGTACGACGAAACGAAAGCGGATAGGTACGCCTATCTCGGATGGATGTTTCGATGGTATTTGAGAGATCTGTTGTAGACGTTGAGCTTTATCTTTGTGACGTACATACATACATACATACATACGAGAGGAGCCTGCCTTAAAAAGTCGCGACCGACCATATTCACTTGAGTGGGTAGCAGTTCTTCAGATCGGATGCGAAGTGTGTTGTATGTATGTTAATGGATGTATGTGTGTATGTATGAATGATTTGTACGACAAACTGAAGTTTATACACTTGGGTATCTAGAGAAATGAATAGATGACAAGAAAGAAGGAAAAAGAAATCGCAAGAGCGCCACCCAAGACCGTGAACAGTACCTCAGTGTCCAATACAAGGGGCTGATGGAGCAGAGAGCAGGCACCTAACGCACTGCCGTCGGGGCCCTTTTCTCATCGCTCGACCCGCCGGATGAGTGTGCCTTGTCCTCCTCGCCTGCAACTCCCATGATGAGTTGAGCCTTGACTCTCGGGCCGATATAGTAGTAGCGACCAGCAGCGTACCAGTAGACAACGGCGAAGATTGCGACGGCCGCCATGAGGACGACGACGTAGTTCATCTGTGATGGATTAGCAAAACGAGAGTGTGTTCGGGAGGGAGGAAAAATTGCTCTTACGTTCTGGGGAGTCACAGGCCGGATGGTAGGCATAACGTAGATGATCGTGACGAAGGTTGTCCAGCAGACGGCCCAGATGTTGATCGGTAAGCTAGCCCAGCCAAGGTGGAATGGGCCACGTTCGAACTTGCCATAAAGCATTTTGCAGATGATAGGGATACAGTAGGACCAGTCAAGAGCGATAGCGGTGAGGTTGAAGATTGCCGAAATTGCGATGTAAGATCCCAGACCGATCAAGTTGATGAGGACACAAGCTGTGGCAAAAAGCCACACTGCGTAAACCGGAGTATCGGTCTTCTTGTTGATTTTGTACCAGACTCTCGACAGTGGCAGCATTTCGTCGCGAGAGTACGCCCAGATGGTTCGAGCGCCGGCTTGAATGGCTGTCATGGCTGTGAAGTTGAGAACGAAACAAGCCGCCACGGTAAAGAAGATGCCTCCATTTCTGCCAATGACGTCGTAGAATATTTGAGCTACAGGCTGGTCGACAGCATTTTTAAGGGTGTGAGTGGGATCGCCGCTGCAGTAAGCTAGCACTATGGTGAACAGCCATCCTCCTATCCAGGTGAAGCCGAGCGCGAGGGCAATGGACCAAGGGGCTTTGATTTCGGGGTTTTTGATTTCTTCCGCAATATGAGCAGTCGCGTCGTAATCAGTCATGGTCCACGAGGCTGAGAGGAAGCCGAAGAGGAAAGACCAGCCTGTAGGTGACCATCCTGAGTTATTTACTACAGTGGTCCACGTATAGGAGGAAGTGTGTTTATAGTCGCACATTGCCAGCAACGCGACACAGCAGCTGAATAGGACGGCAATGTGGAAAATGACATATGTTTTCGTCATCTTCTCGAGCGCCGCAGTGTTCAGACTGTTTAAAGCCCCGTGGAGGACGGTAAATGCAGCCATGACGCCAACGGTCTGACGGTCTGTGGGCACATAGCCGTTGAAGTCCCCTGCCATTGAGACGGCAGCTAGCAGTAATTGGGCGCAGCCGTATTCCGTTGACGCAGCTCCGGCAATCTGGCCGATGAGATTCAGCCAACCGCACAGCCATGATATTTCCGGTACCCAATTTGTCGGGGCGAGATATTTGCATGTGAAGTATAGTCCTCCCGACGTCGGGTAGGCGGAGACGAGTTCGGCCACAGACAGCGCAATGCAGTAGCATCCGAAACCCGAGATCAGCCAGCACCAGACGGCCGAAGATGCACCTCCTGCTTCGTAGGGGTAAATGAAGGTTGTCGAGACACTGGCGAAGAGTCCTGAGACGGAGAGGGCGAAGGAGAAGGTAGAAAGCCAGGAAAATTCTCGCTTGTAGACCTAGTGATAGAAGAGTTGTCAGTATGGTTCTTTTTGAATGGAACGCTGGGTCCGTCTACCTGAGTGTAGCCCATCTCGGCCAAACGTCGATCTGCATCATTAAGAGTGTGGGCTTCGACAATGGCGGCAGACTCTTCAACGACAGCGGAGGACTTGCGCCTTGCAAAGGCAGATTGTCGTCTTCGCGTAGCTCTATCATCGAGTCCTGCCGTCACCTCAACCCCGTTGTCTGCTATCGGTTTTCGTTCCATAGTGGTGGGAATTTCTCGTATCCTCTAGAAAAGGTGAGAGCGTTGGAGGGAACAAAATCGAAGATTGAAAGTGGGGGGGATGGGGGGGAGGCCGTTTGGGTACTTTAATAAAAAAAAAGGCCCGAGGGACGGGAGCAGTCTTGGCATAAGCGAACCCCCCGTCTTACATGTTCCGGGCTTACTCTTAACCGTCTTAGGGTCCGGCCTAGAACCCCCCCTAAGCTCGCCAAGGACCCCCAATCGACCCTGATTAACCCACGCTAACGCAGCCCCACAACCCCTAGATCTTCTAGCCTTATCAGTAGTCGCGTGTCATCTTTCCTCTCTTTTCCCCTCTCTTATCGCCCACAAGGATGCTGCTAAAGAAGAACCATGCTTTCGTAAAGACGACGAGACGTCCAACAGTAGATAGTTTCATATTGATTGTTCATTAATACTTTTAAGAATCACAGTAGATGGCCGAATAAGATATTGGAATCGCATTGTGAAAAAGGCCCTGATTGTTGGACGATTTCAAGGAGATCGAAGGAGCAGATACAGGCTAACATCCTTTGCGATCTCTAAACCTGCCTGCGTGTTCCCCAATCAATCTCAGACTTTCAGCTCACAAGAGGGTTCACATTCCTGCCTTAACTTCCTCATTCTGCATCATCACTCCTCATCCGAAAAGATGTCAAGAACAAGTTTCCTGTCCAAGTCCGTCATGCGTCTCGAGGTCCACCTTTGGACGAGCTTCCTCGACGCTTTTGCACCCCTCCCAAGACCCTGGATCACAAATCTTGCTGGCAAGCCCATGGCAAACCCCTTCCTGAAGGACTGGACAGCATGAGAGCACATTGTACAACAATCTGCCTGACAAAGAGCCTCACTGAAATCCATGACCAGCGTGTTAAGCTTACAGGAGTCGAGCAGCGGTAATACTTTGCGTGGCCAGACAGTTTCTCCTATGTACTGTTTGTACGCATCTTGCACCTTCTTTGCCCACGGTACTTCTGTATACGCTCGCTCGGGGAAGAGCGTGTCTAGAACGGCTCTTTGATCGGCTTCCGTGATTTCGCCATCATCTAGCCACATGCTCACCGACTTGAGCCATAGCTTGCGCTCCGATGTGTTCAAGCATCGCTCGAAAAACCTTTGAGAGAATTCGGCACTCCCTAATTGGACCATGTTGCGCTCGTACAGTGCGGGCTCGGCTTCCTTTCGAATGGTCTTTGATACCTGCAAAAGCGCTACAGTCGGGAGATCACATCCTGTCTTGGCGCAAGCGCTATGTCTATCCCGCAGAGATGTATCACGGGAATTGTAGGGGTGAATTTCGCCGACGACGAGGCACTGTGCATAGATCATCTGACGAATCTCGTAGGGTAGATCATAGAAGTGAACCATGACACTACGGTGCGTGAGCCTTCTGCCTGCAAGAATTGAGTACGAAGATCCTTACAACGATGTGGTAGACTGCCAAGTTCGTGTTCTTTCCGGACTCCAGGTTTTGAGACGGAAGCGCGTCGCTCTAGCATCAAGTAACAGTATATCAGAGTCTGAATGGTAGCCAACTAGAGTTGGCTCAAAATTGAACGAAATTTGAAGCAGCTAAAAAGATGGAGTCGACACGATTGATTGCATTAAGACGCTGAGTGAAGGGGCAGGCCGCGGAGTTGGAAGAAGATCGGTGGCTCGAGCCTGTAGAAGATGAGAACGATAGATTTGGTTTCAGTACACGAAATGTATCAGTAGATGGGGTAGAAAGGTAGTACAAAGAGAAGAAGCCAGGAGCTGATTGGATGAGCTTGAAATATGCCGTTGATTTTCGAGAGATGAAAGTGAAAGCAAATTCGCTCATTGGATAATTTACCTACAGGGAGCGGCGGCCGCTATTCAGTTTCCGCCTAGCGCCCCGCTAGCCATGCTGCCAAGAAGCGGCCTCTTTTCAAATTTTCGAAGGAAGGATTTGCAACGAATCACATCGCATCCTCTACTCCACCATTGACTTTTATTCCTCCTCTCGTCGCAAGCCATCCATCTTCCATCAAGCAGCTACCGAATTAATTAGCATATAAGATATTATTATATAGCCGAAGCGTTTATCTAATCATCGTTTAATATCGTATTTTATATATAAAGGAATCTTATAATACTATAATATCGTATAGTCTAAGACGCTAGTCTATAATCTTACTAAGCTCGCTATCGCCAATTAGAGAGCTCGGAGAAACGCTCTTTTTAGATAAGAAAATATCTTTATATAAGAAATAATACTTGATTTAAGGGCGTAGTATATCGTAAATAGCCTATATCTACTTCGATTACTTATTATTCTACTTATCTTACTACTATAAGAATACTTCTAATTTTACTCTAAAGGCCTAGTATAATAAAGTATTATTACTTAATAAACTATTAGAATCTCTATCTTATAGTCTAATTATAACTTATATCTAAAAATCGTTATTTTAAACGATATCTTATATATAAAGAAGTCTTATAATAATATAATTTTTTATATACTAATTAATTCGATATAACTATAAGTTTATAAAAGATACTTATTAAAATAAACGACGACTAGACTCGCTAGAACTTAGCTATATATAGAGTCGTTTAAATAATAATATAGCGTATATAACGTATTAGCTAGAGATAGAAGTTTTATAATATTTAAAAAGTTTTAATATAAGAAATTTTACTATAATTATTAAAATAATTAGAGACGTAATACTTATTAACTCGATCGAGTAATTTCGAGATTTAGAGCTAGAATAAATATTTAAAGAAAAGACTCTTAAGTAAATTTCGATTATATTAAGAATAGAATTAGATCGCGCTTTTTCGAATAATATTTACTTCTAAAACTCTTTCTATTAATTTAAGAATTAGATAAATCTAATAAGTTTAAAAAAAATTATATTAAATTATTTCTTAAAGGTCGTTACTACTATAGCCTCTATCTATTAAATATATAATCTCTTCTTTATATTAGATTACTGGCCGGAAAGGTATAATATATTCTATGAGATATTTCATACTAAGTGATATTATATCGTATTCGGGTATGGTATAAGTAGAGTCGAATATCATTTCATTTTTCTGGTATGGGTTCGGGATCTTGGCGGGATATACCACGGTATGGTATATCTGTGGTATTATACCATGGAATGGTATATGTATGGGATATCCCGTTGGGATTTCTATATTTAGAAGTATAAAGTAGCTATTCTAATCATCATTCTGGTCAACGGCTAATCGTATCTACCCCCATTCGATATACTACCATGGCTGGCACTACCATGACTACCACTACCATGACTACCACTACCATGGCTGGCACTATCATAGCTGGCACTACCATGGCTGGCACTACCATGTCTACCACTACCATGGCTGGCACTACCATGGCTGGCACTACCATGGCTGGCACTACCATATCTACCACTACCATGGCTGCTACTATCATGGCTGCCACTACCATGACTATCACTCACTATTATGACTATCACTACCATAGCTACTGTCGAAATGTGGCCCCCGCGCATCCCAGCCACCGTGTTCTTCAGCCACCTGATTTTGTACTGTATTTAGGACCTGGCCCCGGAGAGGTTTTGGAGAATCAATCCGTCCGTTCTACACATCACATACCTGATATTTTAACAGCTACCACTACCATGGCTATCACTATTTATTATTCAAATAGCCTACTATCATATGATAGCTATGGTAGTGGTAGTCATGGTAGTGGTAGTCATGGTAGTGGTAGTCATGGTAGTGTCAGCCATGGTAGTGTCAGCCATGGTGTGTGTAGTGTCAGCCATGGTAGTGTCAGCCATGGTAGTGTCAGCCATGGTAGTATCAGCCATGGTAGTGCCAGCCATAGTAGTGCCAGCTATGATAGTGCCAGTTATGGTAATATATCGAATAGGAGTAGATACGATTAGCCGTTAACCAGAATAATAATTAGAATAGCTACTTTATACTTCTAAATATAGAAATCCCAACGGGATATTTAATACATATATCATTTCATAATATAATATTATAGATATACTATATCGTAATATATCTCGTTAAGATTTTATACTATATTAGATATGAGATTATATAAATTTAATAACTTATATTATATTAGAGTATAATATAATAGATTAATATCTTATATTATATTATATCTTTTTAACTACTATTAATTAGATATACGTAGTCTTAAAAGCTTTAAAGCTAATAGTCTTACTATCTATAAAGCGATTACGAGTAAATAAAATTCTTTCTTTCTTCGAAGAGTCTCTTCTATATATACTCGCTTCTTCGCTCTTATAATACGCTTAAATTTAAATAGACTAGTTCTATCGAGAGTTAACGACTAAATTTCGAAGATATAATTTAAATATAAAGAATATATACGTTTAATAGATAGAAGCTATACGCGTAATAGCTATTAAGAATATCTTCTTTTAATTTAAATCTTTTATTATATAATTTTTAATATATATAAAAGAATAAGATAGAGCTAATTTTAAAAATTTTAAAATTATATATATAATTAATTATAAATTTAAAGTTACTACGCTCTTTAATTAAATCGATTAAATTATTATAAATAAATAAATTAACGTTTATAACTATTAAAAAAAATCGCTTATTAAAGTTCGCTTAATAAATAGATATATATTATTTAATTTTAGAATAACTTTTCTTTTTTCTATTAAATTTTAAGTTTTTTTTTTAAATTATAGAATAAAATATAGGCCTTTAGAAAGAAAAAGGACTTTTAAATTTAATTTAATAATTATATATCGTAAGAAATTTAAATATCGCTTATTAAAGTTCGCTCGATAGTTAAATAGCTCTAATTAAAAAATAATAGATATATATTATTAATATATAAAATAACTTTTTTATTTTTAATTATAGAGCGAAATTAGAGCTTTTAGATAAAAGAAGAATTTCTAAATTTAATTTTATAATTATTAAAGCGTAAGTAATTCAAATATTACTTATTAAAAACTTATTTACTCTATTAAGAATATATTTTTATATAAGCTTAAATAGTCGAGTAATAATAACTTTAATAAATTTCGAAACTATTTTACTTTATCCTCGATTTAAATTTATAAATCTCTCTTATTAAAAAATCGTAAAATCGTAAAATTATAAAATTCGTAGAATTAATAAAAATTCTATAAATTATAAAAATAAAAATAAAATAAAATAAAAACTATAAAGTATATTAGAAATTAAAAATAACTTCTTATTAATTAAATTTAAATTAATTTAAAGTTAATTAACTCTCTTTAAACTTAGTATTAATATAACTTCTCTTTTTCCTATTAAAATCTTTTAACTTCTTTTTTAAATTATAGAATAAAATTTACGCTTTCAAATAATTTAAGAACTTTAAAATTCGATCTTATATTTTAAGTAAATCTTAAATTAAAATATTTTTACTCTTCGAGAGTCGAATTTAATCTCGAAATTAGATTTAAAAATTAATTACTTCTTATAAATTTAATTTATAGACTTAAACTTATTTCTAATTAATAATAAGTAAGTAACTCTTTATTATTTAATAATTATAATAAATAAATTATTATATAAATTATTATATACTAAATATTAGCTTCTTATTTTTTTTTTATAAAAATTTTATAAAAAAAAAAAAAAATAAAAAAAAATTTTTTTTCCCCCCCCCAAGGGGTTTTAAAATATAAATAAAAAAATTTTTTTTAATTAAGAGGAATTTAATCTTAGCATCTACTCACCCCTGCCGAACTTTTTTTCACCCCTGCCGAGCTGTAACCCGAAGTTGTCACACAATCATGTAGGTGAGTTCGCAGGGCGAACTGGTGAGACCCTCTGTCTCTATGCTAGAGTGGTGTGGCTGCGTGTCGACGGCGTTGTGCTGTGTGTTGAGAGCTCACGGCTTTGATCTTTGGGCAGACGATGACGTGTTGAATGGAAGTTCGAAGCAAGGTGCCGAACCATATGACGAGCGTGAATTTGGAAGTTATATAGAGTTGGGTCCTCAATCCAAAATATATAGGGTCAGGCCAATATTAATTACATTCTCCGAACTATCAACGTACGATGTATATAATCAAGAACAAGTATCCTAATTCACTTGCTTTTATACGCCTTGCTTCAGATCCAGATTTTGTTGGGCTCGGTGACGGCAAAGTGGTGGAAGGAGACGCCGCTTGGTTGGCTGTAGCAGCTGGACTGCTCGAACTCACGGTGCTGGATGGAGCTGAGGAAGAAGCGGCCACAGAAGTGGCAGCCGCAGGTGCATCAGAGGTGTCCGCGGTACCTGAATCACCACCCGACGCCGCCTCGTTCGTAGGATTTTTGCACGACCCCAACACCGCCTGATCGAACAAAGTCCCCGCCTTTGCTCCTGCATTACAGAAATCCGACAAACAGTACTCCACCCCCGTCGCCTGCAAACAGCTATGCAAGCACCTCAGGTCATTATTCGACACTCCATCCTGACAAAGGCACTTTGCGAAGGCCGCGTCGTCCGTCCAGTCCATTTGGCAATCACTGATCGCGCCGCCCGGGCTGCAATTACAACTGACGCTATCGGCCGCCTTGACAAACTCCTGCCCGAATGATACGAGGAAGTTGTCGATGTCGTTGGTGTCGTCGTCCGCGTCGGGATTTTTGGTGTTGCAGGTATTTGGGTTGGTGGGGGGTTCATTCCACCAGTTTGTCAGCAGCTTGTTGGCTTCGCCGATGCAGGCTATTGAGGCGGTGATGGAATTGTGCGCGATTAGGCATTTGGTGTACTCGATGGGCGTGCAAATCTGTTGGGTGTCGCACGCTGCGGTGTGGTTGAAGGTGCAGGGGTCGCTAGTAGCAGGAGTGGTGAGGAGCAGTAATGCGAGATGTATGGTGCTGAGACTAGATACCGGTGGCCTGAACATGTTTGTTCTTGGTGATGGGCAGGCCGCGAGTAGGTCCTGGGTCAGTGCAGGGAAAGTCCTGGGAACAAATGATGAAGGAAACAGCGGGCTCCAAGTTTTCATGTAAATCGCTTATATATTTTCGGGAAAGATTATTTGGCCCCCAAGAATCCTTCGAACATCTCCATTTCTTAACGCCTGAATAGGGCGACCTTGTTTTTGCGCTAGGCAATAGTTCTCACCACCACAACGTTAGCTCCTCCCTGAGTGCAGTCTAGATAGACAACGACGTCGATCTTCTGATCTTTCTGCACTGCGCCTCTATCAGCTGATGGGTCTTTCGAGGCTGCTGCCTCGGATTGGTTATACTTGTGACGATCGAGCCTCTCGTTCTTTCGTCGCCAGCTGTCTTATTGGCTCATGGCAAGTCTTTCTACGCGCTGTTATCATATACTGGTATGTAATAATTGATAATGAAATAGGTAGGTTATCATTTCCTAAGCTCTCTGGTAAGCGATCTAATTCTATCGTTCTAAAATTCGAACGCGAGCGAGCGTTACATTAGTGATCTTTAGCAACATTTTTCATAACATTTTTCATAATTTAGTGTTTCCAATGCGGAAGTAGCCCTACCCCTCGGCCGCTAACATAATAGAGTAATACCTCGGGCGAAGCACCCCTAACTTTAAGTAGGTACGCGGGCTTCCAGAATTCGTCGTACACCCTAGTCCAAATTAGGCGCTAGGGTGTACGACGAGTTCTGGAACCCGCGTGGTAGTCCGCCTACAATTTCAATAATGGCTCCTTACTATCTGACATGGACGCAGATGCGGCAGCCAATGGGCCTCTTCTCTAATGCCTCATCATTCTCGCCTCCATTAAAACCGGAGATGGAAGCCATGAGTTCAAGAGCAGATACCAGATGGCCATGGATGGAGTCCCGACAGCAGGCAGCAGAGGATGTGGCTCCCTCGCCTCAGTAGTGCATGCAGTCTCGAAACATACAAACGTACGACCTCTGCTTCTCACGCCTTCCTCCTTCCTCCTTCCTCCTCTCTCTCAGTCATGGATCCAGCGACCATCTTCTCCACCATCGGCACCGCCGTCGCCCTTTCCATAATTTGCCTTGAGATCGCTAAAATCCTGAAACACATCCACACAAGCTACAAAGAGTCAATAGCACAGTGCGATCTATCGAGGCCCGATGCGACGTCTCCTATATCTCCGCCCAAACCATCAAACAATGGCTGGAGAACCAAGAGAAAGAGGCGTCCAGCGAGTTGAGACTACAGTTGCTGAACGTCGGCAAAGCGCTCAGCCTAATCAACGAGTCAATGAAAGATCTGGAGGCGACCTTACATAAGGTTACGGAGAAGAATACTGCCATTGGTCCTATAACTGGCTACAACTGGACTTCCAACGGCTCATTGGGGGATAGCTGGCTGAAGGCAAAATTCGTATTCAATGTGGATGCTCTCAAGGGGCATCTGGCAGAGTTGCGTGAGCACGGCGGTTTGCTACAATTTACCCTGACCACGCTTCAAGTGTACGCAAGCGATGTCCTCAGAGATGAGTTGAAAAGCCGACAGGACCCAAGATGCACGCCGTCGGCTCCTGGAAGATCAGCCGCGTCGTTCCGGCACGTTGCCGCTCGAGCATTCGCGATCCGACAAGCATATACCATACGGCGAAAGCCGCAGGAAGAGCAGGGGAGCCATTTAGCAAAAGTGACGACGACGAATGTGCCTCCCGCCTCCCAAGACCAATCGTCCGCTATACCGTCCGCCTACGAAGAATTTCTTGCTATCCATGACACAAACAAAAAGACCGATCTACCACGAAGAAATGGCACATTACCGTCTCCCGCGAATGGACTCAAGATTGCCCATGCCCAGAAAGCAGACACGTCTACTACACAAAATGCCAGCTTACTGGTCAGTGGGCAGCTACAAGAGACGAGCCATCCAGTGTCACAAAGCGTTCCGAATGTGCTCCCTCATGAAACATTTGGCGCTACTCCCACTCCTTTACCTCGAGATGCTTGGGGTGTACCAAAGTTATCAGCGGAATCATTTCGGGAAGAGACAGGCTCTGCGCGATCGCTGCCAGAATTGCCTCCACAACAACTGATGGACGATGTTTGGCAATCAAAGGAGTCGACGAACAACGACAGCGAGCTACCACCTCGGCTGTCAAATGACGTGATATGTGCGACTGTATCGCAAAATGAGGACGGGAGTCGCAATCATACTGATCAGGAGGCAATCAGACCTTCCGTCACCGCCGTAGAGACAGCTCCACCTAGCGCATATAGTCCAAGCGTTCCAAATGCCGGAGTCTTATTAATGCATCATTCGCAATCCAAGGCTGGCCTTCGTCTCACCGATAACATGAGCAGGGTATCTCTCCTGACAGCAAATACAGCAGACTCTGCTCCAAACAGTCGGGATCCAAGCTTATTCAGTAAAGGTTCATCTGTGTGGACCGCGGACTCTGCATTCACACCATCGTCAACTCACTCTGACGCTCGCGGTACCACATTTCCAGCACCTCCGCTTTCTTCCGTGTATCCTATACGGAGGAAACCGCTCGGATCCTCAAAGTCTCATGATAGTCTTCTGCCCTCAACGAACGCATTTTTACAGATAGACTCGTATCATGAGCACGCTACGGCGGCTTCAGTGACACGAGGAACAATGACGCAGTCTCCGACACCTCTAGAGAGCGTCGAGGTAGTTGGCGGGCCTTTTCAAGACACCCAAGTTGGTCCTCAGGAACGAAGACTGGTCTCCCTCTTGGCAATACAGCTGCCTCAAGCACCTCTGCGGTCGTTCCAGCGCTCAATCCCTCTGAGTTTGTTGTTAACAAGCCCGGGCCAGATGGTTCCCCGCTGCTGGTACGAGCTGCAAGTGATGGTCTGGGGGAAATTGTGGAGAAGCTGCTCGCCAATGGAGCCCACATTGAAGCTGTCCACAGTGAGACAAAACGTAATGCTTTGATCGAAGCTTCGGTACAGGGGCACCACAACATTGTCGATTTGCTTCTGGACCATCGTCGTTCGCATCAGCATCTAGACTCGCAGCATATGAGTGTGCTACATCACGCTGCCAAAACGGACATCTCCTTGTTGCAAAGGCCCTTCTAGACAGAGGTGCCGCTGTTAACATTCAAGGTTCGAGCTGCTTGACACCTCTTAATCTTGCTTCGTGGGCCTCTCATGCCAACATGGTGATGCTTCTCCTACAAAGACAGGCCAACGTCGAGGCAAGAGACGCATCGCAACAGACAGCCCTTCATGTGGCCGCTTCTCGTGGTTTCCCGAACGTATGCAACTCACTACTCGACTATGGCGCTCAGTCCGAGAGACGGGATGGTGACCCGAAAACTCCAATGAAAAACTAGCCAGGATACCGGGAAGTAGTAGATTTGTCACTCGCTCGACTCACTCTACGGCCGACAGATACCAATTTGTTGCTGCTTTCTTTGGCGCAATTGAGACTGGATGTGTACGCATGATTGAAGGCTTCTTTGACTGAGGGGCTACTCTGAAGGGTCTCAAGAACGATGCATATAAGCCAGCAATTCTAGCTGCGAAAAGTGGGAATCCTGAGATGGTGACATTATTGCTGCGCCAAAAGGCCAAATTCAAAGGAAAGGACAGTGATGGCTGGACAGCCTTGCATTCTGCCGCTCACCACGGCCAAACTCTAGTCATCGAGCAACTGGCTGACCGGAAAATGCCAAGCAAGGCAACGACAGCCCAAAAAGAGACGCCACTCCACCTAGCCGTTGCAGCGGGTCACTTTGGAGCAACTGATTGCCTTCTTCGGTGTAAGCGTGAATCATGTGTCACCTCCAAAGACGGTCGTGGCGAAGAGCCGCTTCATCGGGCTTCTCGTGCTGGAAGTACTGACACAGTCAACCTGTTGTTTTCCCACAAAGCGAATGTAAACGCTGAGAACGGCTTCGGCTGGAAGCCGCTTCACATCGCGGTTGATTATGGACATGCAGCAATAGTTCAACAATGGGTGAATTTAGGCGCCTCAATCGAAGAAAAGATGGGTTCGACAGAGTACAACAAGGTTGACACTCACTTTCTCGTCGACAGTGGGTACTGGGCTGAGGCACTGTGACCATTTCCGGGAAGCAAGCCTCTTCACCTCGCTGTAGAATTCGACCATGACGATATTGCCCGGTTTCTGCTCAGCAAAGGTGCAAAGGTTGATTCAGCCTGTGGCAGAGGTTGGAGACCTCTTCATTTAGCCGCTTTGAACGCTTCTCCAGCCACCGTAGACATGTTGCTCCAGAGGAACGCATATCCGCTTGCAGTCACAGACTTGGCCCGAAGCAGAACGCCCCTGGGCCTGGCACGTCATCGTTCGCAATCGAAAACATTATCTGGGATTGTGCCGTCCGAGGCAGATCGACTCCGGGTTCAGGAGCTTCTACACGCAGCCATGGCCTCAGTGCCAAAGCGTTCGCAAGACCATTGGAAGCAGATGAAAATTATAGCAGGCAAGGGACCGGATGACAAGACTGAGAACCTGAGGGCTGCCGCAGCTGCTATGAAGATCACTGGGAAGGGACTCGCGTTGGCAAGGCATGCAAGCATTATAGACATGAAAGTCTGAGGTGACGAATTTAACAGACTCCACGGAGCTGACGGTTCACTTGAAGATGTTGAACAACAAAGGAGAAGACGCTAACCGTCTTTGACAAGTGCATAGTGGTGCTCGCGCATCATCAGGCCAAGCGGTGAGATGGATCATATTCATTATCAGCAACCCACTTCAAATCAAACGCAAATATGGAGCGCAAGAACAAGGGAGATGTTTGCAATTTTTTGGATTTTCATTTGTATCTCAGTAAGAAAATGTATACATATCCTAAGCGTACTGTCCACAACACTTCCCATCTCATCCAGCCTTCTACTCAATACCATTATCCATCTTAACAATGTCCTATCTGTACCCCTGAATCCACTCTACCTCCCCACCTTCACTCCGAAGAAACGACGCAGTCATCACACGAGAAACAACTCGCACCATCACACACCCCCGGCCCCCCAGGGCCCGGATCAGGCTGATTCCCCGTCTCGGGCGTCCTCCAAAGAATCGGCGCACTACCCTCGCTCTCGACGCCGGTAATTTCCATGGCATAGCTTTGCGCCGTGAACGTGAGTAACAAGCCCCTGCCCGCAGTGCCAGAGCTCCAGAGAGCGGCACCGTTGATGTAGACGACGAGGTTTCCGTCGCCTTGCCAGGCTAGGCGGCAGGTATCGCCCGATTCACAGTTGTGCCCAGCTGTGCCGCTGGACCAGATTGCATCGCCGTTGTAGCTGTTGCATCGTCAGATTACGGGGAAGGAAGTAATTGACGGGAGTGTGAGATGAAGGATAATTTGACTATTAACTAGAGAGATGGGCGGGGAGGTGAGAGGGAAGACTGACACGACGAAGTTACCGTCGCCTTGGAAGTAGGTATCGATGCCGCCCCAGAGACTGACGACTGGGCTGTTCGAAGGCTGTAGGCTGAACGCCTGGTTGGTATTGAAGAGGACTTCTTTGTTGACGCGACGCTGAATGGAGCCCATGGGCGAGGCCGTGGCCAAAGTGAGGATCGACAGTAATGTAGTAGTGAACCACATGTTCGCTATATGTTTCGGGACTTGACGAGTGAATAAAAGTTGTACCGTGGAATCCGAAAATCCACGGTCCTCGCTGGGGTTTATATAGATCTCCTCCGCTCAGCCTGACATGCTTTGTGAGAAAGCGACGCAAACCCAATGCTCAGCTGACCATTCACCACACTCTCTCATCTCCGCTCTCGCAGGCCCCTAGTCCGGATCCCATGCGATCACAACAACATGAAAGAACGTACACAGAGGCGCGGCAATACCTAACTTTGGGGGTATGCCAGCTACGAGTTTTTTTCGGCAGTCAAATCTTGTGTCCAGTGCGTCTCTAGCATGCACGGTTAGGAACATTTCGTCAAGTTTTGCCGGATCAGGCAAGGCGCGCTGAACGCTTAGCGAATACTAAAACCGTCCGTGGGGGCCATCGGTAGGCATCAGAGCTGAAGCTGAACTCAATATGTACGCACCGCCTGGAGCGGGCCTCAACCGTGCGGTACACGGCACAAAGGCGGATGAGAACGGTGCACCGTCTTTCCCCCACTGGAGAAGAGAGAGTGTAATCCATACAACATGCAGTAGTGTCAAGGCTTTTACTTTCCATAAAGCATATAGTGTCCAGCCAAGGGAAGGCTCACTACACATCGTGTGTCATCCGAATGACGTGCGCAACCACCTTCAGCTCCGCAGATATGTACATGCAATGCAACAGTACCTGCATAGAGTCCGGACATGCGCACACAAGGCACCATCAGGCTCGTGCCACGAGGCTGCGAAAAGAATCGATCTGAGAACGAGAATCTCAAGAAAAAAAAAGAATGGGTGCCATTCGAAAATTTGAGACAAGCCATGCTCACCGATCGCGACGTGGTGCAAGTTTCGAACGGTCGCTGTCTCCACAATGGTAGTTTCCGCACCCACCCAGCGAGAGGTTCCGAATGCTAGGGATGTGTACGTACGACATCAGTCAAGCTTGACGGCATACCATGCGATCTCGCGAGCTGATTATCAATTTCGAAGACCATGAAACAAGGGTCTTATTGCACGGATACATGAAATCGAAGCGCTCATTGAAGAAGCAACAGAGAACCATGTCATCTCCAAAGCGTCCGTAAGAAAATGGGATCAAATGGTTCCTTGCCTCCCCCCAACGAACCTCCGCGACAGGAAGCAGAAAGACTGGCATGCTCGCTGTCAAGATAATAAAACACACCAAGCGTGGAGCGTACACACAATGCCACCACTGCTCTCGGCGAGCGTTGCGCCGCTCTTTGCATCTAGTCACGAGATCTCCGCTCATCTGGCCAAGAGTTTCAATCCTCCGATCTCTCGCGGGTAAGCAGCTATTCCATTCCAGGTCTGTATTCCAGTACCGACGACGCATCATCAATCTTGGACGCTTAGGGGTGGAAGACGAAGACGGTGATTGGTAAGATATGTGTCGATGATGTACAACGTACGCGACGTCAAGACAATGATACATTACACGGCCTTTTCACACGGGACGTGCCAACAGCCAGACGGCTCTGCGGAAGTGTGGGTTACCTCTACGGCTGCCGGCCCGGGACGTGTGTGTACGGGGATCCGGTCCCGCCGATTTACCTACGTCTACCGTTTATAAGATGTCGAGGTCAAGCTGATCAATTGCACGGCGTTCTCGATATGCGAGAGCGTTTCCAATTGAGCGCGGTGCTGAACGCGGACTCGAGGCTGCACGCGGACTTTTTTTTCGAGTGGCTGAACGAACGACCGCTGTCATTCTATAGCTATGTAGTGCATGTTATCGGTGGATATATCTCATCGAAGAATAGAACAGAATAGATTAGAATAATTATCTATGGGTAGCATACTGACTTATACTATCCACCCAAATGCACATACCCCCGATGAATTAAACATGTCACCTGTGGATCCCACGTCGTCGCCTACGAAGTTCAAACCAATACAACACTACTTCAAGCTATGTCGAATTTTGGATGTATTTAATGATCAAGCCGAGACCTTTCATTCGCCATTCTCAAATTCAACACCAGCAGCATACATATCTCACTGCGTGCACATATCCTTCTAGCTCTCCAGTATCCTTCTCCCTCCATCGACAATATCAGCCGCTCGTAATCAAGCAGCGATCGAAGTAGTCCGCCGTACGTTGTCTTTCAACGTTAGGAACCAAACCTTTCGCATCGTCTTCTTGAATCATCCACATAGTTTAATTAATGATAGTACAGAGAGTACTGAGGGTAGTAGTAGTAGTAGTAGCAAGGGGGGTAGTTGAGGCGGTAGGATGAAGTCCAGGAAGTAAGTCATACATAGTAGCAATGACTTTCCCCAAAGAAGACCTATTAATCACAGGTAATTTATTTTGATCAATGGAAGACACACGCTATTGATATTTAATTGCCTGTCAGGTGGCTACTATAACATCACGAGTAAGGAAATCATCCATGGATTGCTACTTTATCCATGAACAAACACAAGGAGGTTTCAACGCGCTGACCTCAAACCCTCATGGAATCATTACCGCCACGTGCCCGTTTCCCCCCGGTCGCTAAGTTGCAATTTTCCGAGCTCCTCTGCGAGCTTCTCCTTCCGCTCACTGATGATCACATCCGCTCTTGCCAAAATCCGACTGACGAAGTCTTCATTCCGCCACTCCTTCACAATTCTCTTCAGCAACGACAACCTCCCAGCGAACCCGCTGAAGAATTTTAGCCGAGGACATAGCGATTGGCGCCATCTCACCATCGTTTATCTCTCCTTTCGGATGAGATTCTCCCATCCGAGTTATCGCTTCGTTCTAGAGCTTTCAGTAACCCTTCGAGATTGAAAGATTCACAGCCATCCACATCTAAAGAACGGAACACTGTCGCGTATCCAGTTTGTGGCTCGCTCTCGGCAAGAAATCTCAACATCGCTCGAAAAGTCGCCTCACGCTTTTAGACGAGAGCGCTGGTACAGGCGCACCGACCGAAATTGCTTTTTCGCTCGCTCGGATCCGAGAAGGACAATGTGGTCCGGGTTCCTGCGGTTGGATCTCCGCTCCAGCATCAAGCAGGGTTTCGACGACGGCTCGGTGACCCTGCGCTGCTGCTTCGCTCCGAGCGGTGTTTGACAGATCACGTTGCGCACGCTCTTCCAGTTCGTCCAAGGCGTCAACAAAGATATACAAACTTTTGGTGGTCATTCGCGAACCTAGCAACACTTGTTCGACATTCAGCGACCGTCAACCTGCCAGAGGCAAAATCGATTTTTTTTCTGCGGCTTCGTATTTCTGGGCAATGTATTCGGGTACCTGGTCTATTTCGTGACCAGCGTTTCCTGTCGATTATTTCTTTGACCAGACAGCGTAAAATGTCCTCCGCACGAGCACCCTCGGGTTTTGCGGCAGTGCGAGAGCAGTAGAAGTACAGCACCGGTGATCCATCTCCACATTCCTCGAGAGCACTTTGCAGAGCCAGGGATCTAGTGAGCGTGCGAGGTCCCAGTATCTTCGATCATCATGAAGCAGACAGTGGACTTGACATATTCAGCTACACTCGGGCTCTTACGTTAGCTTACTCTTTCTCGTACCAGGTGCTCCGTGAAGCCACATCACAGCAGCTTCATGAGAAAACATCCATGTTCTATATGTCCGGCTTTTGAGAAACCACAGACCCGTGGTATCTAGTAATTCGTCGAACCCCTTTCGATGGTGCTCCCTGTACGGGACTGACGATAGCCATTGGAGTATCCTGAGACGATGGTCTTGGTTAGCGCACTCGTCGATTGTGTCGAAGCGTGAGGTCGTCTCTTTGTGGTTGGAGACCAAAATTCCTGCTATTTTCTCGGTCTCCTTGAGCTGTTGTCGGAGCCAGGCACGCGACCGTAGTAACGATTGCGGGATGTCTTTGATATTCGTGGATAACTCCGATTGCATCTGGGAGTCAATAAGGCCGGACGTGGTAAATATGTCGCGAGGCCAATTGCGGGCTGCAGCAAAGCTATAACTTCGTCCCGGGATTTGACTACACTGAAAATCATACTTGCTATAACTACAGTGTTAGGTTTATGTTCCAAAAAGCTAGGGCTCGGTGAGAACTTGCTAATCGTTTTCGTCTCGAAGAATGTTCTGGCCCCAGACGTAAAATCTAGAATCGTCATGTAAAGTCGAACAATGTTGTTTGCCAGTTGCTTTTGGACCCCGTGAGACTCTTTCAGGTAGAGTGTCTCCCGTAAAGCGCAATCATAGATCTAGAGAGCCACTCTTTTGAGCCCTTTTGCAAATTCGGCAGCTCTACTGCTGTCGTTTACGAAGACCTGCGGCTGAGATCAGAGTGCTTTTTAGGGCCCACAGCCACAGGGAATACCAAACAAAAGAACGCTGACGATCATACCTGCAGCACGAGACGAAAGGCTGCCAACGGAAGGGCGGCATGTGTTGGGTCGTATTACACAGCACTGTCTCCGATTGCAATGAACTTGTTAACCCATGATGCTATTTTATCAAAGTCATCTCAGACAGCAACCTCCCCATGGTGCGATTTGATCTTCCATCGCTCCAAGAGCGCTCGCTGCCGCACTTGGGTTACTACAGCTGTCAGAGCGTGCACGTCGGACTTTTCTGACGAACCGAACCCTGATCGCAAAGCGACTTGCTTTTCTTCAGGCAGCTTCGACAGCGCCATGTGCCATAGGTTTGGCTTGGATCTTGAGGAGGCTGCCATATCTTGGGAACTCGAGTGTATCCCGTGAGGCTACGTTAGCAAGCTCAACGCTACGGCTGCCGAGACAGGTTCCGCCATCCAGATAAGACGTGCGCAAATATTATGGGAAAGGTTGTAGTTCGACGCTGATGCAAAGGTAGTAGAGACGGCTGGTGAGCTTTCAGACAGGGAAAATTCTCCCATCGTGGTCTAGAAGACAAGGCATCTCCTATGCAATCGAATCCGATTCTTGCTTCCCCCCCCTTTTTTTCCTCCCACGGCGCCATTCTTGCTCTGCTCACATAAGTCCCCCTCTTATCCCCGCCTACAAAACTCCACCGAACAGTCTGGAGGTATCTAGTCATCATTCGATCTCCGTACGATGATTGGCTTTGCGACTCGACGGGGCTGCAGATTGCCCTTTTGGGAGGGACACGACGCCTCGCATATGGTTGGTCCTGCAGGTAGTCTGACCTGGGAAGGGGGAAGGGGGTACGCCCCGCAGGCCGGTGAGAACCCACCCATCCCTTCGTAAGGAATCATCCAGAAGACGGAGTCCGACACTTCCGAACGGGGCGGACGAGTTTTCGCGCCAGCCTGCGGGATAGTGTTCCGGGGAACTTAACGGGAGAATGTGTATACCCAACCTCGCAACAGAAATCACAGATGGTGAAGGTGGACATGAGCTCATGTGACAGTCCCCTAGGTATCAATATGACATAATCGCTGGCTGGCGACTCGGTCAGCCTGGCGTATAGCCTGTAGCAACTCGTCTACCGGAGAGGTTTGAGTACCAGGCCAAGGATGAATGCTCACGACGAGAAGGCTCATCGTCGCATTGACTTATCTCTTTGCGAAGTCATTAGTCAACAAAGAAGAAAGATCCAGACGACACCTACGAAAAGCCACCCGCAACCACACGAGTGCGAACGCGCACGTGTACTATACGCCTGCACAAATCACCGCACCAACCCATCCTCTTTTGCTCTGTACGACGTGGAGACGACAGATTTCACTCACAGCAGGGAGACGACATACATCTCAACTATCGTTGGCATTCTGCGCCAGCCCTGACCGTAAAATCGCGTTCATTCCTTTCCCCCACTGCGCCAATCCACCTCTGCCCACATCCCTAACCCTCTGATTACCGCCCACGGAGCTCGCTCCCAACGACCTGGGGGAAGACGGGTCATCATCATCGATCTCTGCACGATGATTGGTCGGTTTAGATATGAGCCTGCGCCTGCGCCTGTGACTGCTTTCATCGGACGAAAGGCCCCACAGTAGAAATTATTAAGTGCTCGACCTCGCGGGTAAATGTCCGTGGCAATCGAGATGAGGAGCAGGAGTCGCGACCCGACCCATGAAAACATGATGAATCTACTTCCCATGAGCACACAAGCGTTAATATGAGGATTATAGGGCCTCGACTCCGGAGGAGCGAAAGAAACCGCGGTGTGGAAAGTATAAGGGTAGAGAGTCGTCAGTGAGGGTAAGGACGGAGTCTAATTACTTATTAAGGCTCGAACATACCTACTGTGCTCCTCTCGACTATCGAATCATCGTCGGTCAAGAAGAGTTCGCAAGTCGGACCGATTCTAAATTCGAAGATGGGGAACTGCCAATGAGTAGTAGTCGTGAGTTAGTTGCGATCAACAAGACAAAGATTTCCACGTCCGAGGAGACACTAATAGTAGCAAGCAACATCTCACATGAAAAAGTGCGGCGAGTGTAGTAGGCGTAACATCAGATCCAATTGTAAGTCATCAATGCTATATACAATTTTCCCAGTTCTCCTAGCCGCAGCTACAGCTTCATGATGTATTCATTTCGAGTAGCCCCAGCATAGCACGTTCTAACCTGAAAGAGAGAGACCAATCAGTGGCCATTAGCACCGTTGGTAGCAGCCCCATTTACCCTTGTGCCATTGGTGCCAGCATGGTCAATGCTATCGGCCTTGTGCGTTCCCTTGATCGGTGCACCGTTGTGGTCGTGTGCGCTGGAGCTGACTTTGCCACTCATGCCATTGGCGTGACGAAGCTTGGGGTCCGAAGCCATGCCTGTACGATGTTAGCGTCAAGTACCGGACGGTTTCATGAAAAAAAGAGCTCAGACTTACCATTATGTGTTCCATTGAATCGCATGTTGGCGATTCCCTCGTAGCCCTTGATACCAGTGGCCTTCTCCAAGCGTGTGGCGAGGTCGTCAGACACGTGACGGAAGATGGCGATTTGGCGCTTGATGATCTCTGGGTAGCGGCATGTGGACATATGGCCAGAGACATTGGAGACGAAGCGGGCCTTGGCCTTGTCATCAAAGACCTTCTCCCATAGGGCACGCGGAGCGTTGAAGTCTTCGGGCTTGATTTCAGAGAGGAAGGTGACTGCCGAGCTGATGAACTGGCCGTGGACTTTGTCGAGATCGACAGAGCGTTCGCGGAAGCTGATGGGCTCAATGGAGGATAGATAGTTGGGACGGGATCCTTGATTGTAGAACGCCATGTTGCCATCACGCTGGAAGTTGGCAACGCGGTGGCTAGTTCGGCTCGAGTTGACGGGGAGCTGTTGGTAGTTGACTCCGACTCTGTGACGATGAGCGTCTGGGTAGGAGAAAAGGCGGCTCTGGAGGACGGGGTCTGCAGATGGCTCAATGCCTGGTGGCATGTGGGCTGGGTTGAACGCAACCTGCTCAATCTCGGCGAAATAGTTCTTTGCGTTCTCGTTCAACGTGAACTCGCCAACCTCACGAAGAGGAAATTGCTTGTGAGGCCAGATGTGTGTCAAGTCAAAGACGTTGATCTTTTGCTCCTCCCACAGCTGCTCAGCCTCCTTGGCGGTCATTGTCTGGAACTCGACTGACCATGAAGGGCAGTCGCCTTTCTCAATGGCCGTAAACAAATCTTTCTGGGAATGGTCGGGAGAGTAGTTGGCAGACTCTTCTTGGGTGATGAATTTAGTGCCTTGCTTGGACTTCATGTGCATTTGAGCATACACCCAGTCACCGGCCTTGTTGACAAGTTTGAGGGTATGTCCACCGTATCCGTGCATGAAGCGGTAGCCGTCCGGGATACCTCGGTCGCCCATGAGGATCATGACTTGGTGGATGGACTCTGGGTTCTGAGACAGGTAATCCCAGAACATCGTGCTGTCATCGCTGCCGCTGAGATGTGTGGCTGGGTCGCGCTTCTGAGTATGGATGAAGTGAGGGAACTTGGCGGGGTCACGCAGGAAGAAAACGGGTGTGTTGTTGGCCACCATATCCCAATTCCCTTCTTCAGTCCTGAACTTGACGGAGAAGCCTCGAGGGTCTCGAGCGCAGTCGTGAGATCCAGATTCGCCACCAACGGTTGAGAAGCGGACAGTGACTGGGCATTCGTTGCCTGCCTTAGCAAAGACATCGGCAATGCAGAGATCATCAAGAGGCTTGGTGCACTTGAAGGTACCATGTGCACCGCTACCCTTGGCGTGAACGACTCGTTCGGGGATACGCTCTCGGTCGAAGTGGGAAATGAGGTCGATCAAGTGGAAGTCTTGTAGGAGGAGTGGGCCATTGACACCAGCACGTTGAGTCTCGTATGGGTGAGGCATTGGAACTCCATTGCTGGTGCAGTAAAGGGTGTCCTGGCTAGGAGTGTTACGGTCATCCTCGTAAGTCCTGAACTTTCCAGCGAACTCTTTGCCGTTGGCTTGGCCATGGCCTGCTGTTTGTGTTGCCATAGTAGTATTTGATGTGAATTGATTATACAGTGATGGTGGGAATGGGGGCTGATGAAGAGGAAAGAGTGGTTTTGGTGTAAGAAAGAAGGAGAGGAGAAGTGAGAGGCGAATGTAGATGAATTCGTTAATTCCGCTGCGGGGTCCTCGGAGTGATTCATGCATGATTACGTCACCATCTCCACCAATCAGAAACATGCCGTTTGCGAGCGAACCCGGCACTTTCCGGCACATGCAACAAAACAAAACCTCTTGGAATCCTTGGCATCAAGATTTTTTGATTTTTTTCTCCGCCTCCTTTGATTTATTTTAGTATATTTTATGCATATCAAACTGAGGTGGTCAGTAGACTCAGAAGTTGAGAATCTAAGTATAACCTCGAGCGGCACAAAGACAGAACTGCCTCAAGTATTCATAGTCTGGCATCGCAGCTATTGCAAACCGCCTCAGATCAGCAGCCACTTGTTCTCCGAATTCCGCCCTCCACTTCACCGTTTCCTCATCAATGTCCAAAGACCTGTCGTCACGCTAGCGGAGCAAAAGCACTTGAGTCAGCGTTAAGAAATGAAGGGTCACGGTAAGATTTTGGTAGGATTGGAGCGTACTTTGTTCCCTTGTATCACCCCCGTAGAGCTCAGAAGCGTGTCAAAGAATCCACACATTATCTTGTCTTTAGGCCGTTCTTCCTTTGGAGTAGCTTTCCATGAATACTGAACCCCGCTCGAATCGATATGCCAGATGTCACAAAGTTTTGACACAATGGCTTGAGTGCTGTATACCACATCTTCAGCGTCTATTACGAGTGGCCAGATGGGCTTTTCTTTCGTGCCGTCGATCGTACTGCAGCTGGAGTATGGAGGGACGAGATCATCGTTCTCCGAGTAGAACTCTCGATAAGAATCAAAGATGATGCGTAACCATCGGAAACTGGTGTATATTGCGAAATCTTCGTCGGCAGTTTGCAATTTCAACACGTCTGCCTGCGTACGGTAGAAAGATGGGATCATGCGAGCCGGATGACGGATAAGAATGAGGGGTGAGAGAGATGTGTAAAGGTCATCAGGGATCCATGTTGGATTACTCATTCTACCGCTTAACATTGAATTTGGTTTCTCGTAAAAAGAGTCGGGAGTCTTGTCACGAAAATTGTTGTGTTTCAGAAGGCACAAGCAGTGATCCTTGACAAAGGCTATCTTTCCCTACGCAGGCCGCTCCATCAGTATTCTCTCTTGGCCTTCATTCTCATTCCTTGCATGTCATGGGATTTACCTTCTTCTCAGCTGTCGCAATTGACTCTGTGAGACGCTGAGCCGCTACCTGGTAAGTCTCTCTCTCCATATGAGCGTTTAAGGCTAAATCTTCTTGTGCATCTTCTGCAACACTGCAGTGTTTGAGAGTGAGTTGTATCCTTTCAGGTCCGTACATAGAAGCGCCTATGAAAGGATGGAAGATGTTCTCAAGTTCCTCATGGTTCGCAAACAGCCTGTGAAACATCTGAGACACAGTGCGTGGATGATCAAAGACAAAGATGCGACGGGGAACTGGCGGTTCTGTCATTCTGGGCATGCTTGAGAAAGGATAATGGGAGTCGTAGAAAAGAAATAGCCAATATTGGCCGTATTATAGTCCCTCTTAGCAGCCATTCTAGGCCGTCTCTTGCCTCGATTGTTGACATGCACTGTCAGCAACATGGAGTCGTTAGCAGCATGCGCTGTCAGCAGAGTACCCTCTGACGATGTGGCGTTGGGGATACTACAATCGAAGGTTTCTGTTCTTTCCGTATGAGATTATGAGGATAGCTTCCTATTTGGATGAGGTGATTGACGAGATGGCGTGACTTGAAGACTGTCACATTATGAGTTACATATTCATGGGTTTATCCAAGTTTCCTATTGCATCTCTTGGTTCAACTCCGGACGGTTAGGGTTAGGGTACGCCGACCGTAATATAGATATTTAGAAAGATAATTTAAATATATATAAAATTATATTTACGAGATTATAGAGATACTATAAAGATATTATAAGAATAATAGTCTCGAGCTAATTTAATTAATAGACTTAAACGAGATAATAAGATATCTTATTATCTCGATAGAAAAATCTTATCTTAACTCGACTCTATTCTATTAAAATCTTAACTCGAAGCGAGATAATATTATAATATTAAATATCTAAAATCTCGCTCTACTCCGCTCCGTTACGTAGCGTAGATTTTTTAAACTTAGAATTTTTTAACTTTTACTTCTTTTCTTTAAAAATTTATATCTTTATAATCTATTTATAGAATCTTATAATTCTTAAAGCTCTATAACGAGATAAGTTTATTCTATACGCGACGATATTAAAATACGATAATTTATATATAAAATATCGAGTAAGATTAAAAATATCGTTTTAAATAATATCTCGAAAATTATCTAAATCTCATATTAAATATTATATCTTTTCGACTACTAGTAATTTATTACTATATTAAAGACTTTAAATAAAATATTAATTATTTTCTAAATATATATAATAAGTTATATTACTAAAATAAAAATAATTTATAATTAAATTTATAAATAATAATTAAAATATTAACTCTTATAATAAAGTTTAATAATAAATTATTTAAATAAGTAATAATAATAGCTATAATAATAATAATTATTTATATCTCTATTTAATAAATATTATACTTACGTCTATATAAATATAACGTAGTTACTCTAAAATTATATTAACGATATTTTATTTAATATTAACTAAGATACGAAGATCGATATTAAAAGTTCTAGATAGCGTTAAAATATTTAATACTCTTAATATTCTTAATACTTTTATATAATTATATTTATTTAATAATAATACTTAATACTCTAAGTATTAGATATATTAATAAAAGATAATTAAGATAGAGAATAGTAAGAAGATTTCTATCTATTATACTATATAAATGAGACTTATATATTAAAAATCTTTATACTCTCCCTCTATTCCCTTATATTATTATTAGATTTAATACTATTATAGACCTTAGCGCTACTTATATTAAGACGTCGATATCGTATATATTATATTAGAGTTTCTTTTTAAATCTAGTTTAAATATATATCTTATATATTTAAAGGCTTAACGAATATAGATTTACTTTATATATCTCGAAGTTTTAATATTTTTTAGAAATTAGTTCTATTATTAAATATATTATTAAATCTTATAATAATATTATATCTTTTATAATTTATATTCGCTAGCTAATCGCTAATAGACTACGCTTTTATAATTTTAATCTCTCTATTTTTTAAAGAAAAAGATTTATTATTATTATAATATTAGATTTATCTCTAAATTATATAATAAAAAATAAAGATAATATTAAGAGTCGCTATAGCGCTAATAATAAGTTTAAGAATTTCTTATTAATAAAAGATTTTATTATAGAATAACGTCTTATAATTATTAAAGTTAAAAATTATTATTTAAAATAAGAATATAAATTAATTACGTTAAAGGTTTATAATCGCGAGCTTTATAATATTAACTTATTATTTATAATTAATAAGAATTTATCTACGTCGATTATTATTATATCTCTAATAAATATATTAATTAAGATAAAAATACTTCGCTTTAAAAGAATATATTTTTATAAAAATATTAATAAGAGAGAGTATCTACGCTAGTTTCGCGAAGTCGAAATTAAATTTCTTATAAGTTATAAATATTTTATTATTAATTAAATTAGAATTATTTATTATATATAATCTTTAAAAGATAATCTTAATATTTAATAATATAAATATTATTAAATTTATAGTCTAAGAAATATAACTTTCGAATTTTTTAAGTAGTTTTTATTTAATTTAATAGCGGATCTAGTAAATCGCTATCTTCTTATTTATAAAAAGTAAAAGAAGATTAAATAACGCTTCGATTAGAAGATATTTATTTTTAAGATTTATCTAGAGAAGTTAAAGATTTATTTATCTTTATTTTTTAAAAATATTAGACTAATTTCTTCTTAATTAAATTTAGATTAAAGCTTAAAAATAAAATTTTAAATATTAATAGTATATCGAAATAATAAAAAGAAATTCTTATTTAAACTATTATATAAGAAAAGATTTTAGAATATATATACTTTAACGATAATTTCTATTTAAAGTCTTTAAAGAGATTCGCTAAGAATAAGTCTTTAAAGAATTAAATTTTAAAATTTAAATTAATTTCGAATAGCGGCGCTTATATAGCGCGTATTTAAGATAATAATATAAAGTATAAAGTCGAATTTTTTAATTCTAATTATAAGAAGAATAGTTATTTCTATTATAGTAAGTAAGATTATTAAATATCTAAGTATTTAGATTTTAATAAATCGTTTATCGCTAATATTAATATAGTATTAATAAAAAAGATTCGACTTTATAATTATCTTAGAAGCGAGATAAGAATAACGATTAATAGAGATAATTTCTTTTATTTTTATAAAGAAGTAAATAAAGCTTTAAAGTAAATAGAGATAACTCGTTACTCTACTCGATATTAAAATATATATTAATTTAATTTTATAAAAGTTCGTAGTTTAATAGAATTTAAAATCTTATAATATTATTTTATTATAATCGAAAGCGTTAAATAGTTAAAGTATATATTACTATAGTATATATTAACTAAATTATTAATTAGTAAATAATTAAGATTAATATAAAAAATATAATATACTCTTTTATATTATTAATTAAAAAGATTTTAATATTATATTAAATATATCTAGATTAAATTAATTATAAATATTATTAAATCTAATAATAAAGTAATAACGATTTAAAATTAACGCTAGTAAATTATAAATTAAAGAATTAATTAAATTTATTTAAATTATTAAAGAAAAGTTAAATATATTTATAATTATATATATCGCGATAGTATAAAATAAATTAAAAAATAAATATAATCTAAAGTTTTTTTAAAAGTTATTAGAGTTTAATAATATTTTTTTAATAAAAAAGTAGAGATCTTATTTATACTTAAATAAGAGAATTATATTATTAAGATTAAGAGCGATAAGAAATCGCTATATAGCTTTTTATATAATCTATCTTAAATAAAGTTAGCGAAATTATAGTGTTATTTAAAAGATTCCCTTTAGAAAGATTAAATTTATTATTCGACTTTCTTAGTCGAAGTATTAATTCTTTTATTCTTAAAAGAATAAAGAGCTTTATTTTTATATTAATTATCGAGGCCTAAACGCGATAACTATTAAAAATCGATATTTATTATTCTTAATTATCGAGACTTTAAATTATTTATATAAATTTAAAATCTTTATAAAGCTAGATTTTAAGAATATTTATTATTAAATTTAAATTAAAAAAGATAATAAGTAAAAAATAGCGTTTTATAGTCGTTATAACTATTTTAAATATTTAATTATATCTTTTAAACTCGCTAATATATTAATAATCTTTTAAATATATATTAATAAAGTCTTTATAAGTTTAATAAATATAATATATTTAATATATTTAAATAATATTCTAATTGATAGTACTAATTTAATAAAGTATTAATAATATATTAAGTAAGTATTTAAGCGTTTACGTTAGTTTTAACTATATATTAATTTAAAGAAATATTAATTCTATATTAAGCGGGTTAAGTTTCTAGAGTTTATTATATTTATCGAAGATATTATAATAAATTAGAAATATATCGCTATTTTAAAAGTTATTAAAATTAAAAAGTTATTAAGATATATAAAACTTTTTAGACTTTACTAATTTCTATCGATAATTTATTTATAGCTATTCTAGTATAATAGCGTTATTTATTAATTTATTTAAAGGAAGTAAGAATAGTAAGAAATCTAGATCGCTAGAGTAAATAGATAATACTAAGCTAATATTTTAATAGCTTTAAAATACTTTTATAATTATATTATTTCTATACTATTATAATTTAAATTTAAAGTTATATCTTAAGATCGACGCTTTTAACTTCGATATAAAAATTATATTTTTATAATTAAATAAGAATAGCTATTAGCGATTAATAGTATTTTAATTTAGAAAAATAATTTATATAAAGTAAAACTATAAGATTTATAATTAAGAGTTACTTATTATTATAATATCTATAAAATAATAATATTACTATCTAGAAGATAGTATATTTTATATTAAAATTTTAATAGATTATAATAATTTTAAGAGCTTTATAAAGTAAAAAGAATTAAATTTTAAATAAGCTTATTAAGCGCTAAAGTTAGCTATTTATAATTTTAAGATTTTTTATTAAATAAATAAATTAAACTCTATTAATTCGCTATCGCGACGCTTTAATTATAAAAAAATATCGCTATTAAATATTAAATTACTATCGATATTATAGAATAAACTTATACTTTAAATTAATAGCAGTAATTATAAAGAAATAAGAAGATTATAGCGATAATAGCGTCTATATTTTATTTATTATTACGGAAAATATTTTATTATAAGAATCTTACTTATATCGATAAGAAAGATTATTTAAAAGTCTATTTAATAAATATCGACGCCGAGATAATAAATTTAA